CAGGAGCGAGTCTGGCAGCCTGGGCACTCGGGGAATGTGGACCGTGGGCTCCAAGGAGAACCAGTCTCCGACCTCGAATCCAAGCCCAGTGCCCTCCATGCTGTGTGACCCTTGGCAAGCAGCACCCCCTCTCTGAGCTTCCTTTTTTCTCATCTGGCAAACATAAAGAAGCTCAGGGAGCATTTAAGAGGGTGTGGCATGCTAGGATACCCTGCTAAGATTACTGATTTCTCCCTCTGGGGCTGGGCCTGGCTCCCTGTCTGCCCTGCCCGTCCACTCCTTTTGGGGACAGCACCTAATACAAATTGATATTCAATTAAAGGCAGAGCCCTCGCCCCAGTCCCAGCCTGTTCCAGGAAGGTGGCGGGGCTGGCCCCGCACGGAGTCTGTTTCCCTGTGAGGGTATACTGAGGCCCTGAGAGGAAAAGGGCTTGGCTGGAGCCTGTCGGGCCCACCAGTGACTCAGAGCTAGAGCGTGGACCCTGCTGGGTGCTTTGGGGACACAGTTACCCAGAGAGGCTGGGAGCCCAGCCCCTGCCCTTGAGAGGCTCTGAAGTCCTATGAAAGGGGCTCTGCGTGGTGGGAAAGGCTGCTGGCCCAGAAGTGAGGCGGTGGGGAGGGTGAGGGCAGAGAGGTGGTCCATCCAGTTGTCCCAAGCCCCGCCGCCAGCACCACCACCTTCCCTGCCCTCAGCCTAAGTCCAGGGGCGGGGGCGGGGGGGTGGGATGTCTCCTGAAGGTCAGAGTTGCACAAATTAGCCCCCAGACCCCTTAGGACAGGATGATCTTTAGGCAGGCAGGGGGCGGCCTCAGGGCATCCTCTGGCCCCCACAGACCCCGCCTCATGCGGGTGACACAGCCTGTTTGCTGTGCAGTTCTGGGTCATAATCATGCCTTTATACTCCCTGCTCTGCGTGGGTACACAAAGCCAGCTCTGGGACCGCGTGACCCACGCCCCAGTGCCTGGTTGGAATGGGTGCCCACTCGTCCCCCATTGGCACAGTCTAGGAGCCCCCAGTGGCTGCCCAGCAAAGCTGTATCAGGCCCCGAGAAGGGCATTCACTTTCCTGAGATCGCGTCGTGGCCAAGGAACGACATAGTCATGTGATTAAATGTGGGCTCTGGACGCAGGGTTCAGAGGAGCCAGGACCCAGCGGGGGGCCTCGGGCAAGTCCCTGGGGCCTCCTCTGTAAGCCTCGGTTTCCTCATTCCAGCTGGCTGCTGGGAGCAGATGGTGAGCAGCCCAGCACCTGGCGCAGAGGAAACTCTCAGCTCTGGGCGGGACCCTCCCTGGCCCCTGGATTCCAGGTCCCACGGCTGCTCCTTTCCTTCCTTCCCGCCCCCGGTCCAGCCTCACTTGTAGCCCGTTATTTCCTGCAACTCCCATGGGTGGCTGTTCCCTTCTTAACAGCCACAAGGTCCCCCAGGAACTTGGGGAGCGCAGCCCCATGCAGCCCCAATGCACCTGCCTCAGTTTCCCTTTCTCGACAGCACAGGGCTGGTGTCCCAGACTGCTTTCCCGAAAGAGGAGCAGGGAGGAGGCTTGGCCAGATGCCAACCTGGCCAGGTCCCTCCCTCCCCCCTGCCCCCCCGCCCCCCCAAAGCTGCCAAGGGCCCCTTGCTGTCCTGTGTCTCTGCCCTGATCTCTTCCCCTCTCCCTCCCAGGACCTCTAGGTGCTGCTGCTTGCTGTTTCCTTGTGTGGGTGACACCTCCCTGTTCCCATTCATGCTTAATATTTAGTCAAGTAATGTTTTAACATTAAGTCTGGAGGCAGAGAGATCCAGGCGGAGGGAACGGCCAATGCAAAGGTCCTCCAGCAGGACCGTGCCTGATTGGTTGGAGCAATAGTGGGGAGGCCCTGTGGCTGGAGTGGGTGAGCCAGGGGGGCGAGGGCAGGGAGGGGAGGGGCAGGTTGTGCACGGGCTGGGGGAGGACCTGGGCTTTTACCCCAAGGGCCGTAGGGAGCCCAGGAGGGCTATGGATGGCAGAGGGATGGGACCTGACTCAGGTGCTCACAGGTGCCCTCTGGCTTCGGGGCTAGAACAGACCAGGGAGCTGAGGGGGGCGTGCATTGGCCCCGTGAGGTGGTGACGGGGCTGGGCCAGGTAGAGGCAGAAGAGGAAAAAGGAACAAGTGGGCAGATTTGGGACAAATTTTGAAGGCAGAGCTGACAGGGCTTTTTAATATTCTCTTCTGGTCCCTTACAAGACCCCGCACTTGGGGTCTTTTAGAAAGCGGTTGTTGGCAGGAGGGTCCTGGGCTTTTCGGGGACTTATGCTGTCGTAGCAAGTTCCTCCAGGTGCATAGGGCCTAAGAGACACTGGTGCTTTTTAGCTTCTGTGTGCTGACTGGCCCTCTCCTCTCCGAGCCTGTGCCGTGCCTCCCAGCCCCATTTCAGCTTTGTCATCCCAGCCTTGAAAAAGCCCCCAATGCTGTGTCCTCTCCCTCTCCACCCCCCACCCCGGACCCCAGCAGGAGCTCATGGCCTGGCTCGGCCCCTGCCTGGTTCAGCACCATCCTGCCCAGACATCAAGAAGGCATGGGCCCAGCGAGGCCGGGGCCGCAGGAGCCAGAGGGTAGTTTGGAGCTGCCTTATTTAGAAGGCACTGTCCTGGCTCCCATGGGGTGTGGAGAGTAGGGGGAGCAGCTGCGGCCAGCGCCCTCCCATACACCAGGCCTTCTGTGCAGGTGGCCCCTGCCCATGCCAGCTGGTGCGCTAGTTGAGGAGACTGAGGCTGGAATAGGGATGTCACTCCCCTGGGAGTCCATGGTAGGCTGGGCGGCTCTGGGTTGGAGCTCTGTGTTGCTCTGCTGCCTCAGTTTCCCCGGAGGCTCTCTGAGGGCTCACCCAGCTATCCCAAGTGGTCTGAGCCAGAGACCCCTTCTCAGACGTGGCCAAGCCAATGTGCGTCTGTGGGTGGGGCCAGCCGCTGTGGTCACCCTGGCCACAGCTGGGCCTCCACCTTCCTCATTGACCACTTTCGCTCTTAAAGGGCCCACGGCTGGGGTGCAGGGCGAGGGGCTGTGCTCGAGGTTCCAGTTTCCCCGGCCAGTCCCTGGTCCCCAGCCGGTCCCCGGTGCCCGGCCAGTCGTGTCTGCGTGCACATCTGCAGTCTACACACATGCCTGTCTGTCTGCCTCTGCAGGTGTGGGGGTCTGGCTTTGCGTGTCTGGGTCTGTTGCAGGTTTGCTGGCAGTGTGGTTTGCTGCCTGGGAGGCCTGTCTCTGTGGCTGGCCTGCAGGCAGCAGAGTCTGGGGCCTGTGCGTTCGGTGTGTGTGCCTGTGCACCACGGAACTCTGTCCTGACTCCACATTTACCTTTGCCTGCAGTTCAGTCGTGTGGCTGGACTGTGTGCCTGACCGTGACCCTGTGTATGTCTCTCCTTTGTCTGACTCTGCGCGTGAGTGTCTGAGGTCTGGTTTTGTGCCCGCCTGCACTTACAGTCTGACTGTGTGCGCACAGGTTTCTGGTGCCCCGCCTGCCTGTAGTCTGACTGTGCATCCATGCCTGTCTGTGGTGTGACTGTGTGGGCATCCTTCTCTGGGTCTGGCCTGACTGCGTGTCAGTTACTCTGCAGGTTGAGCCCCCCTACCCTAGCCCCCTAGCCCAGCTTGCCACCCTCCACCCTAGGCCATGACCTGGCCACCACCCAGTCTTCCCCCGGGGCCGCTCCGTGGCTGGGCGAGGTGACCGCAGCTGGGTATTTTGGGAGCCAGATGACAGGGGCTGCCTTGTCATTATGTGGCACCCGCTCCTGTGGCCATGGTTCAGACCCACCCAGGGCATGCCCTGGGGTGGGTGCCGGGCCAACCTGGCCAGAGGGCCTTATCCCTGGGTCTCTCCCTGCCCCTCCCAGGCCTTCCACCCTGATGCTGGCCAAAGCGGAGCCTGGGGAGGGGGCCAGCCCCGGGTTCTGCCCATGGAACAAGGGACCCTTCTGCCTTTAGAAGAGTTTAGATTCTTGTGGGAGGAACAGACACTGAGTGACGATTGTTCCATTTACTTTACACTCTGGGGTGTATGTTGTGGAGGATGATCTTAGTCGTTTCCCAGGCTGTGGGATGCAGAATGAGGTGGGAGGGCTGACCTTCGAGTGGCAAGGGCGTTCTGGAGAAAGTGAGAGCTGAGCGGAGACTGGTTCTGTGGTGGTGGGGAGGAGGGGGGCTGCACTTCTGGCAGAGGGCACAGTAGGGCAAAGGCTTATAGGGGGAGACGGAGCTCAGGCTGTGGCTGTCAGCAGGAGTGGCTTCCTCTGGGGGTGACGGGAGCCACAGCAGGTGTTAGAGCAGGGCAGGGACCAGCGGGTTGTGCTGGAAGATCTGACTGTCGGCATTGTTAGCTGGGACCGTGTCCTTCTGGAGTTCCAGGCTGTGGGGGGGAGAAACTGGGTTTTCAGAGCAAATTCTAGAGCTGGTGTTCAGTTCTGGTTTGGGGCTCCGCTGGAGTCAGGGGCTTTGTCCAGGTTTGGGGGCTCAGCTGGGTGTTGGGGCTGTCTCAGTTTGGGCTGCCGTAAGAGCACCAGAGCCGGGGGTGGGGGGCTTATAAACAACAGACACTTACTTCGCATGGTTCTGGGGGCTGGAAGTCCAAGACCAAGGTGCTGGCACATCTGGTGTCTGGTGAGAGTGCGCCTCCTGGTTCATAGGCGTCGTATCGCTCTGTCCTCACTTCGAAGAAGGGGCGAGAGGGCTCTTTGGGGCCTCTGTTATCAGGGCACTAACCCACCCTCATGACCCAATCGCCTCCTGAAGGCCCCACCTCCTAATACTGTCCACTGGGGGTCAGGATTGCAACATGCGTTTGGGGGAGTGACACATTCAGTCCGTAGTAGAGGCTCCTTTCCACCCCTCATCACCCCGTGACCCTCCCTGTTGCCCTATGACCCCATCTTGCCCATCCCCTGACTCTTCCCCTCCCCTGTGACCCTCCTGCTGCCTCCCCCACAGAGGCCCTCCTGATGCCCCGTCGCGGTCTCATGGCCCCTCTGTTGTTTCTGCAGACGCTGCCTCGTCTGACGCTCGGCTCGAGGCCTCTCCGTGAGGGACTGGGGCCGACCCCACCTCTAGGGTGGAGGTCGGAGGTTGCAGGTCACTGCCAAACATGGCGCCTGCCTGGGGCCCCGGCATGACGTCTGTGATTGGCCCCATGGGCCTCCTTGTGGTCTTGCTGGTCGGAGGCTGCGCAGCAGAAGGTAAGAACTGGGCACAGGGGGTGCACATGTCTGAGTACACGTGTGTGTGTGTGTGTGTGTGTGTGTGTGCATGCGCGTGTGTGAATACATGGCCTCTCCAGGGCTCCTGGTTTTGCCAAGTGGAGTCTCTGTGCTCCATGAATATTACCGAGTAAAATACCTACTATACGCTGAGCTGGAGACATTCAGAGGTAAATAATGACAGAATTAACAAAGCGGTGACAGTGATGATGACGACGTCTGCTTCCCAGCATCAACTCTGCACCAAACCCGGTGCCAAATGCAGACTTTACCTGCTTCATCTTCCTTCAGCCTCCCAAAACCCAGCATGTCAGTTCTGTTTACCTTCTGCATTTTCCAGTGAGGGAAACTGAGGCTCAGAATAGGCAGCGACTTAACTTGAAGTTCCTCACTCCTGAGTGAGCCACAGTGTTCAACTTCCTTTGCCGCAGGTAGAAAACCAGCACCCAGGTGGCAGACACACAGGCATCAAACCTTCCAGGCAGAGCCAGGGGAGGCTTCTTAGGAAAGAGAGGGCATTAGAGGTGGGGCTTCGTGGGTGTGTAGGAGTTCGCTGATGAGGGCATTCCTGGTGAAGGTGTTAGCACATGGAGTTTGGGGGTGGGCAGGGCTGCATTTCTGATAGTAACATGGAGAGGATGAGCGTCAGTTGTGGGCCTGACACCAAGACCCAGTTCACCATGAGGGGTCTAGAGGAGGCGTCACTCGGCCCCATGGGGACACAGGTTGGGCCAGAAGGGAAAGAAACTGGGGTCTCTGAGCAGGCCGGTTTTGCCAAATACCTGCTGTGTGGCCTTGGGCGAGCGACTCAGCTGCCGTTTTTGCCTGGACTGAAGGAGACTCATGATGTTATCCCCTCCCAGCCTCCTTGTGCCAGGGACACGTGGTAAGACCCTGCTTGCTGCCTGGCACAGGGTGGGCGCACAACCCCACGTTGCCGCAAGCATAGCAGCTGTTGCTGCTCTGTGAGAACACCCAGGACACACACACTTGCCTCGGCCGTTGGCACGTTTTCTCTGGCACTTTCGAGTCAGCTGCCACGGTCCGAAGAGAGGAATGCTTTTATCATCCTCCCCATTACACTGACGGGGAAACCGAGGCACGTCCAGGTTACAGCACAGCCAGGAAGGGGCCATGCTCAGGTTTGAGCCAGGGCCGCCTGGCCCCAAGCCCGAGTTCCTGACCATGGTATGAAATGGCCTCAGGAGCGAGGCCAGGTGCTGCCGGGCTGCGACCTGTCCAGGTGCCATCCTGGGCTCCCGTCCCTGAGGTGGGAGCAGCGGACTAAAGGTACTAAGTTTTTAGGTGTTTTTTTTTTTTAATGACATGCAGCTGGGTTTTTTTGTTGTTGTTGTTTTAAGATTTTATTTATTTATCTTTTAGAGAGGAGGAGGGAAAGAGAAAGAAGGGGAGAGAAACATCAGTGTGTGGTCGACTCTCTCGTGCCCTGTACTGGGGACCTGGCCTGCAACCCAGGCGTGTGCCCTGACTGGGAATTGAACCCACAGCCTTTTGGTTCGCAGGCTGGCACTCAGTCCACTGAGCCACACCAGCCAGGGCAGAATTTTTAGTTTTTAATTCATTATTTGACACAGGGTGTCTCCCCATGGGCACCGGTGGCACTGAGGTCTGGCCCTTCTCTGCGGGGAGGCCATCCTGGGCACTGAGGGGGACTGAGCAGCACCCCTGGCCCCGCCCACTCAGTGCCAGGATCAGCCCCACAGTGATAACCACAGACGTCCCCAGACAAAAATGTCTCGCCCCCAGTTGAGTAAATAACGTATATGCTGCTCGACATCTTGCTCTACTCGTAACTTCCAGCCTTGGCCATGGCGGAGCTGAGATCGTCCCTGTTTTCAGGTGGGGAAACTGAGGCCCCAAAGTGGCCATTGTGATGAGGGACGGAGGTCACAGACTTCTAGTCCTGGCCCAATCGTGTGACGTGGAAGGGACTGTGTTCTCATTCATGTAAGCACCTGCTGTGTGCCAGGCACTGGTTTAGACCCCAGGGCAAAACAAACATCTTGCCCCTTACGGAGCTGCTGATCTCTTCCCATGGAGACCCTGAGGGTGATGGGAGGGGGGCGTGCCTGAGAGCGAGACCAACCGAACGGAAGGGGAGGCCACAGCGAGCAGCGGCATCTGAGCAGCCCTGAAGAAGCCAAGGCGTGCACTCAGTGGTATCCGGGGGAAGGGTCCCAGGCAGAGGGACCGAGCCTGGTTTGCTGCAGGCGCAGAGAGAGGATGTGAGGCCAGGGGAGGGGACAGAGCAGGTTGTACAAAGCTGTGTGGGCTTGGGGGAGACTTGGGTTTTTACTCCTAGGAGGTGGCAGCCCTGGAGGGCGATGGGTAGAGGGGCTGTACCTGACTCAGGTGCTCACTGGCACCCTCTGGTGGCTCCTCTGGGGAGAACAGACCATTATAGGAGCTGAGGGGCGAGGTAGGTGACGATGGGGTGTGGCCCAGGATGTCAGCACCTAGCATGGAGCGGGAGCTGGCTCAGTGGGCGTTCCCTCTGTGGCCCCTTAATTGCTGTGACTGCATGACTGTATGTTTCGGTAGCGGTCTGGAGTCAACCCCAGGTCCCCATCTTCGGGGCTGGGGCTTCTTGGCCCCAGTAGGTGCGTCTATTTAGCAGGAGCCCTGTCATCTGAGGCCCAGCAGGGTGCTGTGGGCACCATGAGTGGCACTGCCAGCTTCAGAGAGTGGTCCAGGTCCTTGGGGAGCCATTTCGGGTGGGGCTGGGAGGCTGCGAAGGGCCTGGGGGAGCCGCCGAAGTGTTCGCCAGCCAGCGCCAAGAGGAGTGATTTCCGCTGTGGAAACAGGTCCTGGTCCTGGGGGGCCAGTCCAGGCAGAGCTGGAGAGGCGGCTGGTGGGTCTCGGGCCTGGCACCAGACTCTGCTCTGCAGAGTCCGAAATGGAGAAACCGCAGCCAGGCCTTCCCCAGCCTCTGCGCTGTCGGCATCACCGCCCTGTCTTGTCACCTAAGAAGTGGGGACCCCTCGAGTGCTCTCAGTCTGGGGGTACACAGCCCCTTTCACCCAGCGTGCTGTTTGCAGGGCTCGAGAGCTGGGCAGGATCCAGCTGGAGTCCTAGCTCTTTGCCGTTCATGAGCTGGATGACCCCAGGTGGGTCACTCACCCCTTCTGAGCCTTGGTTTGCCCATCTGTGGCAGGGGCGTGAGAGCAGCACTGCACCCCACTGGGCCCAGCACAGAGGCAGCACTGGCTGGCACACACTGTAGCCACACCCAGTACGTATTTCTGGTGTCCAGGGCTCCTTTGCCAGGAAGAAGAGGGACAAGAACGAGAGATTCCGAGCATCCACAAGGAATTTTCTAGTGGGGTGGGGGCGGTGGGTAGCATTCTCCTGGGCTGGCTGGGATCCTGGAGCCCTCTGAAGAGAGGCCGAGAGCGGGGGAGCCCAGAAGTGAGTGGACCTGGTGTTAATGGGCGTCCCAAGGGTCACTGGACACAGAGAGGAGGTGTGATGGGGTCCCAGGGAGTGGGGCTGCCTGCACGTTCCCTGCCACGTGGCATATAATCAGGTATTTCAGCCCGTCGGGGCCAGGGCCCTGATGGGGGGCATCCAGGCAGTGGTGGGGACAGAGGGGCTCTTGACCCAGCCTGCCGTAACCTGAGGAGCCTCCCAGGGTAGATGCTGGCCCAGCCGAGGTTGGAGCTGCCAGATGAAGGGAGGAGGAAGGGGCTCCAGGAGGGAGGAACAGCAGGGCTCCTGGGGAGTCTCCTTCCCGGACTGGTGGGTGCAGGGGTGTGTTCCCGGCTCCCATGCACAACTGTGTCTCCTGCAGCTGCTCTGCCCTTCCGTCCAATGGCCCTCAGGGGGTATTGTCCCAGAAGTAAGATTCTTGACCTGGCCACAGTGACGTTCCCCATGACCTTGGCTGGGGACCCATATGGCTCCATTTGCCATTCCTGAGGCTTAGAGTAGGAGTGGCGGACAGTCAGAACCAGGGAGGCAGGCCCAGCCCTGGCTCAGTGTAGAGCAAAACATCTAAATCAGGCTGAAGGCCCGGAGGTGGTGAAGAGCACTGATGTCATCTTGGCGACAGAGACCCAGGTTCAAAAGTGGGTGCTGTCATTTCTCAGCTCTGTGACCTTGTGCGAGGTTGTTAACCTTCCTGAATCTGTGCAGTCCCATCTGTACAATGGGATCAGCAGTCACTGCCTCAGAGGGATACACAGGAATTGGCTCAGGTCACACGGCCGCACGCTGCCGGTCTGCTGATTGTTAAGAGAGAGAGCCAGTGGGGACACACGGTCACATCAGTGGGAGCAGAGCCTTGAGGGAGGGAGGCAAGGCCGGTCCGATCACCGAGATGGATGCCCTCTTTTGTTCAAAGCCCGGCCTGAGCCATGGGTGGGGTAAACTGGGGCCTGTGGGCACCCAGACTTGGGACCTGAGGTTCCCTTGAGCTTCTTGGTGCTTCTGGGTAGCCAGAAGTTTCCAGCTGAGCCCTCATGACCCTTTGCTGATTTGTGGGGCTCAGACCCAGTGTTGCTATAGTTTGAATTGTTCAGCCCCTTTCTGCCCCTCCTCAGACCCCAAACTTTTACTTAGTAGTTTCTCTAATCAGCTCACCTTTTTATACGCAGTCCTTTAAAAATCTGTTTTAGCCCTGGCTGTATGCATAGCTCAGTAGATTGAGCACGAGCCTAGGAACCAAAGGGCTGCTGGTTTGATTCCCAGTCGGGGTAACACGCCTGGGCTGCAGGCCAGGTCCCCGGTAGGGGGCGTGTGAGAGGCAACCACACGTGGATATTTCTGTCTTTCTCCTTCCCTTCCCCTCTGTCTATAAAAATAAATAAAATCTTTAAAAAATTATTTTACATTTATCTTTAAATAGTTCTAGATCTAAAAGAAGTACCAAGATATGAAGCCTCCTTCCACCTGTGTTCAGCCACGTGGTTTCTGTCCCTGGAGATAGCCACTGCTGCTTTATTTTGATTGATTGATTGATTGATTTTGAGAGAGACAGAGAGAAATCGATTTGTTGTTCCACTTATTGATGCATCCATTGGTTGATTCTTGTATGTGCCCTGACCGGGGGATGAGCCCACAACCTCGGCCTGTCGGAACGATGCTCTGACAACTGAGCGACCTGGCCAGGGCCAGCAGCCACTGTTCCTAAACTGAAGTCACACAGGCCGCACGCAGTGGGTCTGCTGATTTTTACTGATGTACACGTATGGCACATCCAGGCCATTTTTCCCCCTCGTCATTTTTGTTATCACTCAAACAATAGCATCCACTACAGTTTTTTTACCCCTCACTTTTTTTCAATTTGGGATATGTGTTTGTTTGTTTTAAAGATTTTATTAACTTTTTAGAGAGAGGGAAAAGGGAGAAAGAAAGGGAGAAAAACAGTATATGAGAGTTAAATCAGTTGGTCACCTGTTGCATGCCCCCAGCTGGGGAACCTGGCCTACAACCCAGGCGTGTGCCCTGACTGGGAATCAAACCAGCAACCTTTTAGTTCTCAAGCCAGCACTCAGTCCACTGAGCCACACCAGCCAGGGCTCATTGCATGATATGTTTTGTTGTTTTTTCTCTAATGGTTCATCTGAAAAGCATCCTTGTTCCTTTTTACTGCGGCGTAGTGTTCCACTTCATTAACAGCCCAGTGCTAGTGTAATCGTTCCCTCTGGGTTGGATACGCAGATCATCCCCCTCAGACTTTGTAAGTATGTTGCAGCCCTTAAGTCTCCTGGTAAAAATCTCAGAAGTAACCGAATTCATTTTATGGGCTACACTGTAGCATGACTCTGAAGAGAAATCCAGTATCCCTTTGGGCAATTCAAAGGTTACTGTGAAAAGAAAACAAAAAGGAAACAATGTTATCGCACTCTGGCTGGACATGTGGCTTGTGCTAGGTGCAGAGTTGAGTCTGTCTGTCTGGAAACATTAAAGACACAGTAATTCCCACTTGACACTTTCTTGGAAAGACTACGTGAGGGGCAAAGAATCGGCCTTGGGCCCAGGAACCAGCCTGGTTCGAACCCCTCCTCCGCCACTGGTGGGCTGCGTGTCTGAAGCAAGTGCCTTGTCTGGTCACTGCCTCAGTTTCCTTGTGTGTGAACTGGGAATTTTGATGGCCTTGCCCCTCTGTGCTGTCAGAAGGATTAGATGTTACTAATATTAAATGTTACCAACTTGCTTGGTGCCTTGGTTTCCCCGTGTGTCTCACCAGGGGATTAGACCAAGTTATCTCCTCCTAAGTCTTTTTAGGACTAAGGACCCTTCAGAGTTTGGCTGGTTGCCACTGGGGGCCTCCAGGTGCTGAATTTGGGGACCTCAGAATCTCTGGGGTCTCCCCTTCCGCTGTCCCGTGTGGCACTGAGCGGGTGAGCCCATGAGGTTGTGTCCACATAGGAGTGTGTGTGGCTGTTACGTCCAGGTGGTGGTGGTGTGGGGTGGGGCTGTGTAGACCCTGGGGTGACCGTAGGTGCCTTGGCAGGGGGAAGGGAACATTCAGTGGCAGCATTTCTTCACCTTCCTCCTCCTCTCTCAGCCCTTCTGTTGGGCCCACGTGGGAACTCCATGGCAGGGCAGGGGATGGCGTGTGAGGTCCTGGCCGCTTACCTGGGCCCACTGGAGCCCCCTTCTTCCTGCTCTATCCCCAGAGCTCCCCAGGTTCATCAAAGAACCCAAAGACCAGATTGGTGTGTCGGGAGGTGTGGCCTCCTTTGTGTGTCAGGCCACGGGCGACCCCAAGCCCCGAGTGACCTGGAACAAAAAGGGAAAGAAGGTCAACTCGCAGCGCTTTGAGGTGAGTTGGGGCGAGGGGAGGCAGCCTGGAGCCAGTGTCCCCCAGACTGGGCCACGGCAGCTCAGTCACGGGAGACGCCGCAGGCACGTTCCCCAGCGTGACGTGGGCAGCCGGGGCCCTCTCCCGCCCACTCCCGGCCTCACGACCCCCGTCTGCTCAGCGAGGGCCCTGCCAGGCCGGCTTGGCCACCTTCACATCGCGCTGTCCCAAGCAGGGTTGCCTGTCTCCTCTGAGTTTTACCTTACACTCACAGACTCACACCCAACACCAGCGCTCACGGAAAGGCATCAGCACACGTGCGCACAACCAGATGTGCGTCTTTCCACCTCCCACACACCCTCACATGCCTGTCACACTTCCCACGCCGGTCACACACCCGTATACACATGATATTCTACTGGTACACGCCCAGGCCCAGCTTTCTGCCACCTGTGCATCCCCGTGGGGCAGGGTGTGTCTGGCCCCCCAGTGCCTCTTCCTGGACCCCTGGGACCCCATCCTCACCTTGACCTTTCTCCCCTGCCCACGGCAGACGATCGAGTTCGACGGGAGTGCGGGGGCCGTGCTGAGGATCCAGCCGCTGCGGACACCGCGGGACGAGAACGTGTACGAGTGTGTGGCCCAGAACTCAGTCGGGGAGATCATGGTTCACGCCAAGCTCACTGTCCTCCGAGGTACAGGCTCCCCCGTGCAGGGGTGGGGGATGGGGCTCTCGGCCTTGGGGACACACACCAGAGGCATCTATGAAAGTCTCACTTTGGATTTTCTCTTTGGGAGACCTCAGTCTGCCTTCTCCAGCCCCTAACACCACTGAGCCCAGAGCCTACTGATGGGGTTTAGCAGGCCTTTGCAGCCAAGAGGAGTGTTAAGAGACTAGAGTCATCCTCTTTTTTTTTACACAAATCATGTTCTTCTGATTATAAGAGGCTGACCGAACCTAAACTGGTTCAAGTAAGAAAGAGAATTCATTGGTTCATGTAATTAAAATGTAAGCAGAGTACCAGCTTCAGGCTCAGCTGGATCCAGGAGCTCAGGCAATGTTCTCAGAGCTCACTCTCTCTGCCTCTAGGCTTGTTTTCTTCTCCATCGACTGCATCCTCAGTGAGATGCCTCCCAGGTACCTCCAGGCTTCCAAGCCGCTAACCAAAAGGGAGAACCACATGACCCAGGACTGGGGCACACTGGCCCAGCTTGACCGTGCCTGAGCCGGTTACTGCGACTGGAGGAACAATAGAGGATTCTAACTGGCAGGGCTCTCCCTGGAGTCCAGGGTGTGTCAGCCGCTTAGACCGTGTCAGTAAGGTGTGGTTTCCCCAAAGGAATCGAGGAGGAGTGGATGCTGGACAGGCAGAAACAGCTGCCCCCCACTTCCCCTTACATTCACACAGATCCTCTGGGAACATGGCTTCGCCAGGCCGTTTGCGGTCCTCTTTAAGGTGGGCTGGGGGCGGCAGAAGATTGCTTCCTCATTATAAAACAGCAACATCAGACAGTCCTGTCACAAATTCCCACCCAGCTGCTCTCTGCTGCCTTCTGTATTGCAAGGTGGCTTTAGCCCCAGTGGGGAGCCTACAACTTGAGTTCAACTCCTGGCGCTGCCACTCTGAAGCTGCGCGACGCTGGACAAGTTCACGAAACCCGGAGCTGCAGTCTTCTCTCCTCTGGAGTGGGATGCTGCTGCTGCTGCTGCTGCTCAGCACAAGGGGTGGTTTCATGAGTCAGAAGCGCGGGCAGTGCTCCTGAGAGACGCGCACAGTGTTCCACAGGGAATGAGCGTTTGGTCAAGTCTGTCTGTCTGATGTGATTATTACTGTCATTGCTGTCATCCTGGCACGAACAAGACAGCATGGCCACCAACCATTCTGTAGCTCTCAAGTGGGTGGGTTGCCCCTGTCACCTGCAGGGGGGCCCTGACTCTCCCTGTTCTGTAAGTATGAGCCACCTCGCAGTTGCGTAGGTGGGAGGTGGCCCCACGTGTGGCTCCTGTGGCGGCGTTCTCCCAGTGTCCTCCAGGGCAGCAAAGCTGTGGTCAGCTTGGAGCCCTGGGAAGAGGCGTCCCATTGGCCCCAGGGAAACCTTGTCCCAGACCCCGGTGTGTGGCCTCTGCAGGGTCCCTCACTCAGAGAGCTCCGCCGTGGCTGCATAGAAATTCTTAATGATGTTTTCACTGGAGGCCCCATCGTCTCCATTTACATGGGTCCTGGAGCCCGTCCTGCAGGGGATGGAGAGAGGAGTCCGCAGCCTGGCCCGCCTGGCCCCTTCCCAGCAGATATTTTTGCCTGACCTTTCTTGGGCATGGATAGAACAGTGTGCTTTCCCTCGCCCAGTGCCAGCCTCCATTGTAAGGGCTCAGAGAGTTAAAAGAACAAGCTGTGAATCTATTAAGTGCCCTGGGTGTCTGGGAAAGCTACGTGTCTGCTCCCTGCCCCCCATCAAGGCCTCCTTGGCATCCATCTGTGCTCCAGCTGCTAGAAGGACGTGGTGCTTGGGCCTGGCACCCAGCCCAGGGTGCGTGACCCAGGAACGCCCGGCCTCCCCAGCTCCGGGCCCTGAGCTCCAGCCCCCGTCCCTGGCTGAACGAGGACGGTCTGAGCTGCTGGGCCCAGTTTCTCCCTGCCTCTCCCTCCCTCCCCGCCATCTGATTGTGGACTCCGCTCACGCCTCCCACGCCGTTGTTTTAATTAAACTCCGAGGAATAGGGCACAATGTGGTACGCGATGAACATTTTTGTTTAATTAGGAGCTCACAGTAACGTCAGGCAGCCGCGGCCTCCCCCAGCACCCACACGCCTGCTCCCACCCTGGCTGGGGGCCACCCACACTTGCTCACGGGGACCCCAGCAGAATTGCACGTACACGGGAAGCGCATACACATGGGACATGTGTGGGGTGTGGGTGCACGCATGGGTGCGCGACCATGCACACAGGAAACAGGAACACTGAGGAATGCAGGCAGACCCGGCCTCCAGCATGCACGGGCCAGCCCGGAGCACCAAGCATTGAGGCCCAGTTATTTTGGCCTGAACCTCTAGTGACGTCATCAGTACTAAGGGGAACCACCTCAGGTAGGGTCCTACTGCCCCCCAGACCCTGATAGGTCCAGGCCCAGTTTGAGGGTTCTGCGGCTGCCATCCCAGCCTCCTTCTGGTGAAGTCAGGCCTGGGTGCACACCCCAGCCTGCGTGTTCTGGTTGGATGACCTGGGGCAGGCGTGTGTCTGTCTGAGCCTCAGTTTCCCCTCTGAAGTGAGCCCCCTCTCTGAGGAGGGCACAGGCTAGAACACAGTTAGCATTCAGGACTTGGGACTGGGGCCTCTTGCCCTCTGTGCAGCAAGCCCTGCGTGGGCCACGGCCACAGCCCTCTCATTCCACTGGGGAAATGAGGTACCTGCCGTGGCTCCTGGCCAGGGCGGCCAGTCCCCAAGCTCTCCCCTGGAGGGCTATGGCCATGCGATAACTGGGCCCTGCCCCATTTCTCCTGTCTGCCCGCAGAGGACCAGCTGCCCCCCGGTTTCCCCAACATCGACATGGGCCCCCAGCTGAAGGTGGTGGAGCGGACGCGGACGGCCACGATGCTGTGTGCTGCCAGCGGCAACCCTGACCCCGAGATCACCTGGTTCAAGGACTTCCTGCCCGTGGACCCCAGTGCCAGCAACGGGCGCATCAAGCAGCTCAGATCAGGTGAGCGCAGGTGGGCAGGAGGACCTGGGAGCCACAGAGGGCAGCAGGGTGAGGGCGGCAGCTCCGGCCCAAGCCCGTGTACTAACGGGAGATGGAAGGGCAGAGATGACGGCCGGCCGTGGAGGCGCTGCTGGTGGGGAGAGTGTCCGCAGAGCTGAACCAGTGGGGACGGGGGTGTGATGGGGCGTAGACTGGCCGGGGTGATGGGGAGCTGTGGCCGATGGCAGGAGGAGAGTTCTTCAATGCCTGAGTGGGCACACAGTGGGCCCAGTGGTGCACAGCGATGGGGCTGTGGAGGCCCCAGGGGCACGGTGTCTCTAGTACCCAGCAGTGGGTTCCCAGCAAGGCTCGGGTAGTTCCAGGTGATGGAAAGCCACAGAGGATGGTGGCTATCTGCAGTGTCCCAGCAGTGGGGACACGAAAGGGGGCAGGCAGCCAGAGATGATGGGGGGCCATCTCCAATGCCTAACCACTGGGTTTATAATGGGGGGCAGTCAAGGTATTGGGGAGCCATGGGAGGTGGCATAGGGAGAGTGTCTCCGATGTTCAAGTAGTAAACATCTCCACAGGAAATGAGAGCCATAGACAGATAAGGTATAGAGAGCCGTGGAGAGCTGCAGGGATAGAGTGTCTCCAAGACTGAAGCCGCTGAGGAAGTTACGGGGCAAAGACAGGCAGCCTAGCCTGCTTGTCTAGGGCCCGGCTGGACTAGGGGCCCTTGGGACAGAGCACAGTGACCCGGTCACCTCAGGGGTGGGTGGCTCCACAGCTTTGTCTCAGCATAGCACCCACGTGCCCTGTCTGTGAGTCCACGTGTTGGGGGGGATGCTGTGTGTGTATTGTGTTCATTCCCCCCCGCTTCATGCTGTGTCCACATGTGTGTGTCTGGGCCCCTGTGCTGGTTGGATCTGTGGGTGCATGCAGGCCATGCCATTGGCACGTGGGTTCGGCCCCCGCCCCTGGGCAGAGCTGCTCTCTGCACGTCTCAGCCACACGTATACCCATGTTACCGTTCCTCCCTGGGCGGGCTCCCCACATGCACACGTCTCAGGCCCCGGCCCCCAGTCCTTGCGTGTGCAGACACACGCTGTAGGGTTGTGGCCATGTGCACTCACATGTGTCAGTCTGTTGTGAGTGCACACGTTGGAATGCATCTCCTTTTGCTCCTCTCTCCCCTTCCTCTGAGGATCTGCCTCGGACCGCCCGGGCCCGAAGGCCTCCCAGTCGCCCCCAGTGCCCCTCACTCACCTTCTGACTCACTGCCCAGCCGCGGCTTCCAGGGGCCTCTCTGCCCACCCCGTGCTCTCTGCTCCCCTCCCCGGGGGAAGACCTCGGCTCTGGAAAAGGGCAGACATCCAGCCCAGAATTTCCACCCTGGGGAGAGAGCCTCACCCCTCCTGATCTGTCTGGGTATACTTGCAGCTTTAGGGGTTCAGCTGGGGGATGATGGCACCCTTGGGAGCCCAGTTGCGTTTCTGTTGGCTCCCACCGTCACCTCCCCGGTACAGGGAATCCCCTGAGAGCACAGACCTCAGGGCTGGACAGCCCAGGTCAGGTGTCAGCTGTGTCCTAGAGCAGGTCCCCTCCGGGTCTCGGCATCCTTGCAAAGTGTGCCTGCTGCTCCCTGACCTCTCTGTGAGGGCCCAGGACGGAATGCCTGGCACGTGATGGTGCGCAGTGAGCAGCAGCTGCTTTATTGATCGTAATAAATCTGATTATCCTGACTTCCCGCTCCCCACCCTGCTCCCGTGAGTATACTGGCTTCTGCATAACCACACATTAATGATCCTGTTCTCTCTTTCTTGTCCCTCTGTTGTAAACGTTCAGAAACCTTTGGTAAGTCTCACTTCTTCACCGTGTCAGCAACTAACGTTCCCCTTTCAATCCCCTGCCCTGTCCCCCCAGACTAACAGCCACCGTGACAGTAACTGTGACCCACTCTACGTGGCATGTTTACTAACCCAGTCCCCTCTGCTGGCACTCCCCACCGGCCACTGAGTCTTTCCCAGCCAGGCACCAAGGAGCTACAGAGAGAGGACCCCAAAATGAAAAGAGGAAACAGGCAAGGCCACACTGGGTCATTCCAATCCCAGAAGGGAGGCTGAGGGGAAATCAGGGGCATTCTGAGCTCCGCATGTAACTGTCCACCTGCCCCATTCTGGGCCGTGACACTGCTGGAAAACGATGAAGTTACGGAAGTTTCGAGGGCCAGGGCTGGAATGAGAGGGAAATTTTCTAGCAGGGCTGGTACTGGGCACTACTCATTCTCTTCCCAGTGTCTAACCTGAATTCCCTGAAACCAACTGCTGGGCTAATTCTTACTAAGGTGAGAATGACTGATAGTGGCCCATGATTTTTCCTTGTCTTCCTTGGGGTACATCCTTTTCTTCTCAATATGGTGGCCATGGGCTATTTGGCCATCTTGGGAAGAAGCCCTGTCCTCTAGCCTCTAGTGTCTATCATCATAATCCACGTGTCGTGAAACACCCCAAAGCTGGGGCTGACCCAGCTTCCCAACTGCCTGGGATTCTAGTTCTGTACATTGCAGCCTTAGCAAATTTCCATTTCCTTTGTGTAAAGAAGAGAGAGTGGCCTTGCTGGGTTGCAGATTTTGTAAGAGATAATGTGGGGGCCCAAAAAGTTCAGGCTAGAGGGTCCCCAGCCTGGTAGGTTGGCTAGCTGGATCCAGGGCCCACCCCTACCCTTGATTCATAGTATGACGGTTCCCTTTGCCCATCCGTAAGATGGGCCTGGGCCACAAAAAGGAGCTGTTTTCTCCATCCTTGATGGCTTCTCTGCCCTGGCCTTGGTGTCCCTTTGTCCTCAGCAGGGTTATCAGCTGTCATGGGGGGCAGGGGAGATGGTCCCCAAGAAGGTGAGCTGAGGGTGTGACACTCCAGTCCGGGACCTCCTCTTCCTGCCTGACTGAGGTGTCCCTGCCCCCAGTACCCAGGTGGCCACACAGATAGCCCTTCTTTCCTCTTTTCCTTTTGGAAGTGAAGGAGGCCGCAGGGCCCTCCCTCTGCCCTCCATCCCCTCTCACCGCCCTCCCCTGTCTTTCCTACCTGGCCCTTCTGTAACTCCTCCCCTTTGCTTTATCAATGCCCGACCCTGGGGCACTAACTGGTCTCCCACTGTCTCTAACAAGATTCCTGAGACCCCTGTGGCTCCCTGTCCCTCCCAAGAAGGAAAGAAGGAAGGGAGGTCCTGGACCTCCCTCCCTCAGCCCAGAAGGAAGGCAGCCAACAGGGCCAGGCCGGGCCGGGCCGGGCCATAGACCTTCCCGGGGCACAGTGATGCCCCTCCTTCCTCAGGAGATTCCTGCCTCGCCTGCGGGAAGCCCTCCTGATTGACGAGCGCCCAAACCCACCCTGCTCCTGGGAGCCTTGCCTCCTCTTCCTGAGCAAGGTCTGCAGGGTCCTTAGACCTGGGCTGGCCTGGCTCCACTGGGGTCAGAGCAGACAGGCCTGACTCAGGACCCGGCCTAGCCTCCTTGGGGCCCCCGGCCCCCCAGGACTGCCTTCTGTCATTCACCTGACTCTCTCTGCTTCCCTTACAGAAAGCACTCCGATCCGAGGTAAGAGGCTCTTTACCCACCCACCCACTCACGCTCTCACTGCCCACCCAGCCCCCCAGGCTCCACGAGGGGCTGCCTCAGGCCCCCCCCCACGTGTCTCCTTCTCGCCACCCTGCCCAATATTCGTCCATTCTCTGTGTCTGTGTGGCCGCCTGTGGCTTGGGGGCTGAGTCTGGCCATAGTGGCTCCTCAGGCCCCCCGGCTGCAGGAAGGGGGCTGCCTCCTGCTCGGGAAGGGGCAGCGCCTCCCATGCCCACCCACAGTGCTGGAAGCCGAGTTTGTGGGCATTGCTCTGTGTGCAGCCCTTGTCGTCTGTCTCCAGCCTTGGTTTTCTCATCAGTGGAATAAGCGTGTGGAAGGGGTCCTCCAGCTCTGAAGCTGTGATCCAGGGTGGGGTCCAGCATGAAGGAGCAGAGAGCCAGGCAGTCTCAGAGGCCAGGTCTGACGTTAGCCTCTGGGCGCTGCCCGGGAGAATAGACTAGAATAGACCTGGATAGGAGACCCAGGAAAGAGTCTGTCTAATCCGGGCATTACCACGAAATGCTGTGTGACTTAGAGCAGCCTGTCTGCCCTCTCTGGGCCTCCATAGCAATACCTGCCTTCCTGCTCCCCAGAGCCTTGAGGTCCGGGGAAAAGTAGCAATGTTCTGTGAGGGCAGACCCTCATCCACCTCCCAAGTGAAGTGTCCCATGTAACTCCCATGGGACAGCCACGAACAAAGCTAGGAGGAGGGGTCTGTCTGGGAGCTTGGACTAGATTTTCAGACTCTTGGTGCCAGGGACTCTGGCTAAAGCCTGGGATTCTGACACACTGGGAGGTGCTCACTCATTTCTGTTTACAGGTCAGCAAGCACCTGAGTCCAGGCCTGCAATTCAGACGTACTTAGAGATGTTCACTCATCTTTATTTACCGTGAAAATGAGGGATGGCCCTAGGGTTTGGTTTCAGGTGTTCTTGGGAAGAGCCTGGGCTCATTTCACTTGCCCGCATGCACCATAGTGCTCGATCCAGGCCTGTGCTTCCAGATGTTTTTGAGAAGTTTCATTCGTTCTTCTGTGTTCACGGAGACGTCTGCTTCGGGCCTGCAATTTCTGACATGCTGAGGGGAAATCAGCCCTATTTTCATGTACCTCACGGGCACTGAGGTCTTGATTTGGGCCCGTGCTTTTAAATGTGCTGCAAAAAATTGGCCTGCTCTTTAAATTTTTACTCATACATGGCCAACAAATTCTTTGATCCAGGCTTGTGACTTCAGACACACTTGATGTATGTCAGTCTCCATGCCCTTGACTGTAGCCGTCATCACAGGCAGCCAGTCCTGTTTGACACTTGGCCCCAACGCCTGTGATGAGCTACAGCCCTGCCTGGGTTGACTTACGGGCGCTGAGGGCTTTGGGGCCCGTGATCCAAACACGCTTGAGGAACCCAGACCCGTGTTCACTTCCACGAGCGCCCTGGGCGGGACCATCAGTGCACCCCCCAGCTCCCTGACTTGGCGCATCCCCTGGGCTGGGAGGTCCCAGAGTCTCTGGGAAGACTGCTGCGGGTATGAACGCTGACCCCGCCCTGCCTATTAGCCTGGGCGGTAGCCCGCAGAGCTTTCGCAGACACACCTTCGAGGCCCATGCTCCCCAAAGCTCCGAAGTTCCCCTCCGCAGCCCCTTATGAAGCCCCAGCCCCGTGACCAACGGCTTTCACAGCAACAGTGGAGGATTTCTGGGGAACGTGAGGTGTTCAGAACAGTCCAGGGCCAGACTCAGGGTGGGGCGAGATGGGCAGGGAGGCGCCGGCCCAGCTGGGGCTTCCAGGCTAACTCAGCTCTTTCACCTGCCTCTCTGGCCCAGCTGAAACCAGAGATGGGCCAGCTGGCCTCTGGGAGAGCCCTTCCGGCCCGCCCCTGGCCCTCCCCTGACTGGCTGCATTCTCTCCCTTCTCCCCACAGGGGCTCTGCAGATTGAGAGCAGCGAGGAGACCGACCAGGGCAAATACGAGTGCGTGGCCACCAACAACGCTGGTGTGCGCTACTCCTCCCCCGCCAACCTCTACGTGCGAGGTAGGGAACGCCGCGTCCAGGTCGGAGGCAGGGACCTGTCCCATCCCGTCCCCCTCCCTCCTCGGGCTCACAGCCTCCGGGCTCCCCTGTCCCCTGCAGACCTGAGCAGGAGGGCCTCCCTGGCCGGTCGTGGCAGGACTGTGGGCCAGGGGGCATCCCTCTCCGGATCTCAGTGTCCTTGCCGGCAAAATGGGGGCATCTTAAGCCCCCACCCCTGTGCCTTGTGATGGACGCCCAAGTGGGGGTGCAGGTCTTGGGGGTGGCGGCAGGAGGGAACAGGGCAGGGCCAGGGGAGGGCTTCAGTCTTGAGCCTACAGGGCCGGGGGAGTCTGCAGGCCTCTGCCCCACCCCGCCCGCCCGCCCGCCCACCCAAGTCAGCTTCTTCTGTGGTGTGTCGTGCGTGCCTCCCCTTGTCATGTGCTCGCTTTGCTTCTCCAAACTCCGTGGCCTCGTAGCTCGCCTCACCGCCCCCCCCCAGCACCCTCCATCTAAGAATCGGGGACGGGTCTGCGAGGGTGCCCCCACCACCGGCCCCGCACCCTCATCTTCCCTGGAGCCCGATGCATTCTCTCCTGGTCGCCCTCAGAAAAGACCCACGTGGGCCCCGGCAAGCCCTGCGCCTGGTGCTCTCTCCGGGTGGGTGGCCAGGTCTGTCCCACCCAGAGGGGTGGTGGACGTTGTAGCCCCCACCTCCCACCCCCAGGGATGCCCCGGGGAGTGTCTACACACACTTCTTTTTGGCTCCCTTGGTGTCCCCTCAAAGGTCCTGGGGGCTTCCCCTGCCCCTAGATGCGTCTGCTGACCCCTTACCCCGTTGGTTCTCTTTGGTCCCTTCGGAAAGTTTAATCTGCCCCATCCTCCACTATTTTTGTTCCTCTGTCTCCCACCTCCCGATGGGTGTTTCTGGTCCTGTTTGTGGAAGGAACAGCTTCTGCCTGCCCGGAAATGGCCCCATCCAAACCCCGGGGCTTTCCCGACGGCTCGGCGCACTTGGCTCCATCACGCTCCTTCTCCAGGCCTCAGTTTCCCCCATTCGGCATAACCAGCCGGACAGCCCCTCCCTTACCCACGGCCCCACCAAGCGCAGCCCCACCGGCCCTGAAGCAGCTCCCTGGTTCCGCACCTTGGGTCCTGCATCTGGCCTCTGAGGAGGAGGCTGCATGGAGGGAGGGGACGGGGACGCGGTCGGGCAGGCGGGCAGGGGGCACGTTTGACCTGCTGCCACGGCCCCTCTGGTGAGTTCCAGTGCGTCCATGCCTCCAGCCGACGCCTGATCTAACCTGCTGACTTTTCTGCACACACCTGGGGTGGGGATGAATGAGTCTGGCAGAGCTCAGGGGCAGTGTGGATGGCAGGAGTGGGCAGGGTGGGGGCGGGGCCTCTAGCGGGCGTACAACAAGGGAGGGGGCCCTCTGTGTCCTCAGCCCCCCGGAGTGGGGGTGCCTGGCATGTGCCTCTTTCTGTTGGGGGGGGTCCAGCCTCCCAACCTTTGCCTGGGTCTCAGATGCTCCAAAATTGAATTTAAAAAAAGAATCGTGGAAGGCAAATGTAGACCGTGTTTGTCAAGGAAGGAGTGGAGTAAAGGGAAAAAGGTCATTGCTGTTCTTTTCTATTTTTTAATTTTAATTTTTTTTTGGTTTAAAGAAAAAAACAAACTATTGCAGCTTTTAGCCTTGGGAAGTCCTCTTTTTACTCTCTGTATCTCCCCTATTTTTTCTCTTCTCCCCATGTCATTGTGTTCTGCATCAAACCCCCTTTACATCCCTCAGAGCTTCGAGAAGGTTGGTGTGTTTTTTTCTTTTTTACTTTCTTTACCCACATTTTTACATTCTGAAAGTGACATGCACACACATGAAATACACACAGACATGCGCACAGACAGCCACAGACACGCACGTGGAAAAATGAACTAAAAAAGTAAAAACAATGGAATATAAACAATAAGCGCAAAGCAAACAGAACAAAACGAAAAACCGCCACGCGAGAGCAAAAACCCAGAAAGACACAAAAATCTCAGCCGCGCCCAGCCCGGCCTAGGGCAGGCCGCACACATGCGATGCTTGCATTGTGGTCGCCTCTTTGCATCCGTTGGTAATGTTGTTGCTAAGTTTTTTGCACTCCTCGTCGTCATGGTAACTTGGGCCTGATGCATGCTGGGAGAATGTAAAAATTTCTCTGCATGCCACTCTTGTCAGTTCGGTTTGGTGAATTCTCAACGCCTTCTGTTGGAGTGTTTCTCGTCTTCTGTTCCGTTTTTCTCTTTTGGTTTTCTTCATTTTCCTTTTGTTATTCCTTTTATTTAATTATGAGGGTTTTTTTCTGTTTTGTTTCATTTTAGGGGGGAAAAAACCGATCTGTTCGTTATTTTTTCCCCCTCCCATTCCCGTCACCCATCCCCTTTCTCCTCCAAAGCATTTTGTCTTTGGTTCTGTCTTGTGTTTCCGTGCTACTTGGTTTCGGTTTCTTGGGCTGAGCTGTTCTGTGGTTGTTCTCCAAACGCATTGTGATTTAAAAGCCAGTGTTCCTGTCCCAACTACTATCTGGGAGGGTGGAAGGGGTCCCACAGCTGGGATGCTGGGGCAGAAAGTGACCACTGGGCTCAAGGGTGCGAGGGAGGGGGCATAGACAGCTGGTGGGACATGGTCGTCGCCGGGGTGGGGCGTGTGGGGAGGGCAGCCCCATTGGCTTGACCTCACTGGCCAGCCCCCTTTTGCCCGTCCCTGTCAGGCAGCGATGCTGGAAGGGGACTTAAGCAAGCATGTCCCCATTCTTCTGCCTCAGCATGAGACCGCCTCCCACCCTCCCAAACAACCCAGCCGTGAATGGGCCGTCGGCACTTTGAGTTCTTGTTCAATACAGTGGCAAGTCCAAATGCGGGGAATGGCCACCTTAAATTGGACCATCCTCCCAAAACCATGCATGCTTGGCACACAGGCAGCACTCAGAATGGCAGCTGGTATGATGACTTCGTGGGTCCTGGCTGGGCACAGATACGGAACGCCCATCAGAAAATGTAGCATGACAGACTTTGGAAGAAATACTTAGAAGGCTATCCTGCCTTTTAGTGTTATGCCTTCACCTCCCAGGTGATGGTGGCTGATTCCCCCACCCCCTCACAGGCTCTGGGTCTAGTTACAGGTGTCTTTTGTCCAGCAGTACTGCATGGTCACTTTCTGAGTACCTGAGCATCAGAACTGTGGACTTCTGGAGAAAACCCAGGGGAACTTTGGACACAGCCTCTCCCCCTCCTCCTCCCTCTGCCTCCCCGATTCTCTCTGCCTCTCTCTCTCTCTCAGCTTTCTCTCTCTCTCTGTCTCTCTCAGTCTTGCAGACCTTCGGAGATGCATGCTCCCATCATTTGCTCCCTCCCTTGAGTAAAGGCAAGCCCTTGAGAGTTCCACTCCGGCCCCCAAACCAGCCTCCAGTAAAGTCTGTTTAGGTTTCTAATCTCCAGGCCCCAGCTGCTACCCAACAGAGATGATAATTGAGGGCAGAGGTCAACCTCTTTGGGGGTCACCTGTTCCACTCTTGTCCCTTATCTGCCTTCATTAAACTCCCAATTATTAAGTCTAAGGCCAAGTTGGCAAGAGGAGTTTAGATGCAAAAAGAGGGGGTAAATTTCCCTTGTCTCCTCTTTAATCCCGTGTGAGAGCTGCCAGGCTGGCCCTGAGGGAGGTCCCACAGATGGAAGAGAGGGGTCTCCCAGCCCCTCCACCAAAGCTGGGTGGGTCCCAGTGGATTAGAACTGAGAGGTAGCTGAGGGTCTCTGAAGACCACTTGGATTGGGGGGGCAGTATAGCCTAGTGATGAGAGCAGAGACTACGCTCTAGCAGACCAGGGTTCAAATCCTGCCTCTGCTTCTCCTTGGCTGTGTGGCTTTGGGCTGCTCACCATTTCCTCATATAAACAATAAGGATCGTTAATATGCCTAGCTTACCGGGTAGTTGGGAGGATTCCATCAAGGTAGTTAATGCTCCTCTAGCACCCTGTGTAGGGCATGGCACCAAAAAAGTCGTTAGTGAGGTTGTGGTAGAACAGGGAAGTGAAGAGTCCGAACAAATGATCCGGACAAGTCACTTCCCTTCTCTGGGGACCTCAGTTTCCCGGTTATGTATTTTAACAGGTCCACTGTTTGAATAGTATGGCCTGTGGGAAACTGCTTTGAAAAGGGCAGAAGCTAATTCATTTGCTCCGATCTTATTTTCGCTGATGCTTTTCTGAGGCCGTGCCATGGTCTCATTTTTTCCTGGCTCTAAACCCATTCCTGTGAGATCAGTGGCCTCCCTGGGGCCGAGTCTCTCATCTCACTCCCGGCCACTCCCCCAGGCAGTTCTGTGGCCACAGTATCAGAGGGGAGCAGCAAAGGCCCAGCTTGGGTGCTAGGTGACCCTTGCAGATAAGTACCGGCCCGCCAGAAGAGATGGGCCGCCTGGCATGATCTGCCCTGAAAGCGCCAAGCATTTACATTGTTGCCAGAGCAGCCAGTCCTGGGAGTTAATTGCAATGAATTTCCACCCCAAATCTGACTCTTCTTCAACTCATGATCTCCAGTTTTGCTGATCCTGGGTTGTTCAGGGGGCAGAATATTCAGACTTATCCTTCTGGTCCTGAACTTGATCTCTGAGATCCAAAAGGGCAAAGTCAAAACCAAGCCCGTTTTTCATGCACCTGGTGGCCACACTCCCGGAACTACCCTGGGGAAGATGATCAGATCACATGCTCCCTGGCTGTTAATGTCCTTTTTTTGTCTCTTTAAAATCATAAGCCTTTTAGATGCCAGCTAGTGGTTAAAGATGGTGTCTTTATCGCTTGGTCCAGCAACATGGCGTTATTGACCCTCGATGCACAGGACCCAGTTAAACGTGAGCCTCACACCCGTGTTGCGGGAACGAGCAGGCAGAACTCCGAGCACACTGGAGACGTGGGGAAGGACTTCCCACCTTTACCCTGAAGCTGTCGTCAGGGATTTGGAGGAGGCCATGCGGGGCTAGGATAGCTTGAGGCCCCATCTCAAACGCTGAACTAGGAAACTGGGACTCGGCGCCCACCCCTGGCAGGCGGGGTGGGTGGGGTGCCCCAGTCTCCAGGTGCTCTCCCTAACCCTTTATCTGGAGCCTGTCCCCCTGGTATTCTTAGAGCAGTCTGTAGCCTGGAATCTTAGGAGACAAATCATCTTTAAAGTTAAATTTCTAGCGCTAAAGCCATGTAATTAGTGGGTATGACTTCTAAGTGCTCCCCTTACCTCCTGGCCCCCCAAAACAGGAGTAGATGAAGGTATTGGGGCCTGGAACCCCTCTCACCTCCTACATCTCCAGGAAAGTCTCCATGGGGATGTGCTGCGAGCCCCCCGGTTCCGCTCATCATCCCCAGCCGTGCCACCCTGAAGGCCCCTGACGTGCCCCTGGGGCTAGGTGATGGCAGATCAGGACCCAGCCTTTCTCCTCCTCCCACCCTCACCCCAAGGGGGGGAGGGGGCTCCCCGGCGGGTGGCGGGGAGGGAGGCGCCCCGCAGGAACACTGCGCTCCAGACACCTCTCGCCTGCTGCCTGCCTCTCACTCTTTGCCTTGCTGTCTCCGCTGTTTGGTGGGGGGTGAGGGGTCGTTAGATTACACCTCGTCATTTGAGAAGCCCCGCGTCTCCGGCTGCAGCAGAGCGGGCAAGGGGGGTCCGCTGATTGGCAAGATGTCATCCCGTTTTCTGGTAGAACAAACTATTTTTTAAAAGTGGGGAGAGAGAGGGTAATTAAATGCATAAATAAAGCAAAATGTCCAGCTCAAAATGCCAACTTGCCAAGGCCGCTGGCCTGCCTGTGGGCCGGAGGTCCAGCCAGGTCCCTCCAGGCCTTGCATGCCATTCTGATGGCGGAGGGAGCTGGTGGTGGGCGGAGGGAGGCCAGGTGGGGGTGGGGGGGGGGGAGATACTGGAGGCAGGCCAGTGGGGGGGGGGGTGCTCGCCCTCCCTGGGCTACAGGCCAGGGCTACAGGCCAGGGCTCCGTGGAGGGGCTGAGAAACTGGATTCAAAATTAGGCCTCGGACCCCCTCCCTTCCCGACAGGTGTAATCTAAGCTTAACCCCATGGAGGCTGCAGAACTCTTGGCATCCGTCCCCTGCCCTCCCCACCCGGTCCTCATTTTGGAGTCCAGAGGAGCATCCAGTAGCTTCTCTCACCCCAAAATGCCCACCAGAGCCCCACGCCCCACCCCTCGGAGCTGCGGCTTGCTGAATCATCGAGATGTCTGACACTGTCCAGCCCCCTGCCTAGTGCTTCAACCAGATCACCTCACTTTTCAGTTCCCTCTCACCCTTCCCCACCCTTCTCCCCTGAACCCCACTTTTGGTTTTTGAGTTTATGCCTCTTCCTGTTTGGGGGAGGGGTCGTCTCCCGGTTGCTTTGACGGCTTTTGAGTTGTTTTTCCATGTGAATCGGGGTTTGAAGCGACCCACCCCCATCCCAAACCCACCACCCCCCCACCGCCCACCTTCCTGACCCCCTCACCCACGCGGGTCCCCCCGCTGGGACCCCCGGCTACTCGGTGACGAGAAGAGCTGGAAACGAGAGCCAGCCGGAGCGTGCTGAGGACCAAGGCTGGTGTGGTCCCCTTATAACCTGCCTGGACCCTCCATTCAGGTCGGTAATTGGGGGCGGGGGTCCCGTGGGGCCACGCTGTCCCATGGGCTCCGCGCCCACCTTACTTTCTAACCTGCACCTCAAACTCGCAGCCGGGGGTGGAAAGATGATGTGGGTGGGTGTCAGCACCAAAGTGGGCAGAACACAGCGTCAGCCGCCCGTCCTCGCCAGCTAGGAGGGTGTCTGGAAGCCTTATGAGACCCCCAAGGGGGCGCTGAGCCACCCAGTGCCCGTGGGCACCATCCTCTCCAAACACGTGGCAAACCAGCCCTCTTTCCACAGCACAGCCCCAGAAGTGAGCCGGGTGGGTGAGAAAGCAAGTGGGCAAAGTGTCTCAGGTGCCAGCGTGCACAGCTACTGGCAGATCCGATGGCTGCCGGCCATGTTGGGGATTGTAAGCACTAAAATTACTGTTGTTGATCAATGCCCTCCCACACTTAACTGACTTGCAGTTAACAACCTTGCACAGCAAGTCTTTTCCATTTCCATATTCAAGAAGCCTCGTCTCTCCTTCTGACGAAGGTGCCTTCCAAATTATGACACTTCCTGGGGGAGATATTTTAGGATCAGATGCGAACAGGGTCTCTTGGGCGCGACGCTGAGCCTCGCAGAGGGATAAACCGCACTCACGTGTAATCTTGCGATTCTAAAGCCGGCTCTCCCTCCCTTTGATGTTTCAACAACCCCCTCCGTGTAAGCCTTTTCCCGGAGGCTTCTGGGCCTTTGTCGTCCTGGCTGCCGGTTCGTGCTCGACGACTGGCGGCGACCGGGCGTTTCCCAGCCGGCAGCCCTGCGTGGAGACAGGCGCTTCTGCGCTCGTGGGTGTCCTCAGTGGGTGAGGACGCACCAGTGCAGAGCAGCCAAATGCGGAGCAGGGACACCTGCCTGTGATTCTGGCTGCTCACCGCGGGGAGAGAAGAGAGGGCTGGCGCGCCCTGCGGCCGGGGCCAGGCACGCCCTCCCGGCAGCCCGCCACCGCTCTGAGCCTCCGCTCCCTCACCTACCAAGCTGCCATAAGAACATTTGCCCCTCAAAGCTGGGAGGGGTAAAGCCACATGGGGATTCGGTAGAAATTGTTTCGTTGTGTTTTTTTTTTTTTAATTTAATTCTAATTCTTCCCCAGACTCGCCCAAGGTAGAGGATGTAGTTGACCTTCCTTCCCAGCACCCCGGAAATCCAGAAGGAAACTTCACCAGGCCCATGCCAGGCCCTGCCCCAGGCAGCTTGATGGCCTCAGCATGTCACCGGTTGCCTCTGTTGTACAGATGAGGAAACTGAGGCTCCAGAAGGATGAGGGCACTTCCCAAGGCCACAGGGCTCATTCAGTCCCATCAGCGCCCCCACCTCTGCTCAGAGAGGCCTTCTTGGGCCTTGAGGAGTTGGCCTGTCTGTGCAGTTAGTGTCAGGCCTCTGGCCGGCTGGCCCCAAGCCACAGGCAGGGTGTCACCGGGAGGTGGCCTTAGAGGGGCTTCAGAGAGGGGCTCCGGTGGGGCCGGGCTGGTTTGCCCCGAAGGCTCGTGCGCCGCGAGGACGTCAGTCCCCTCATTAGCTGCCGAGGCTCTTGGGGTGCCGGGTAGGGGGTCAGACCCTGTGTTCTGCCAGGGGTGGGGGGTGCCGCCCAGGGAAGCCACAGCCCTTCTCCTTTCAGACCCCGATTTTCAGTCCCACGCCCATTCCATCTTTTTTGTTGTCGTTCCTGCTTTTGGAAAGGTTTTTTTGTTTGGTTGGTGTTTTGGATTTTTCTTTTTTTCCGCTTTGTTTCTTCATTTGTTTCTCCTGGTTTTGTTTTGGACGTTGATGCCGTTTTCTGTCCTTGATTAATTAGCTCCCCACACTCATCCCCCATCGTGTTCTGTTTCCATGACAACGCAGCGTTGGGCATCCCACTCATGTGCCTCGCTGTGGATGCCGGTGGCGGCGGCTGGCCTGGACCACGTTCACTGGCTGGCCAGACCCCATTCTCTGCCCCGACTCCCCTGCCCCCGCCCCGCCCTGCCGGAGAGCCGCCTCCCATCTCAGACCCCCGCCCATCACCCCACGACTGTCTGCATGGCTCCTCGCCCTCCTCCCTGCGACCCCGCCCCGCCCCTCAGGGGACACCTTCCACTTCATCCTGTCTCCAGTGTGACTCTGGACTTTTCGTGGGGCTCCCTTTTCTGAAGGGTGCCGGCTTCCTGACCCTCTTCCCATCCCCACAGGGCTCTGCTTCCGTTCAGGGATCCGGAGAGCAGAGACCAGGGTTTCCAGCTGGGAGCCCAGGCTGCCTCCCTTTATCCTCTGTAGCACAGGCCAAATACCCTCCTAGGGGTGCAACTGTACCCCCAATGCCATGTGAAAGTTAGAGGCAGAGTAGAATGCCGAAAGTCACATCACACTGTGTCCCTGGTTTGCCTTTTGAGACTCCACTGTGTCCTGTTTCCATTGTTTTCAATGTCCTGTGTCCTTGTCTCAAGACAAGGCTCCTTGACCCGCCCAAAGCTGGGGACCTGCCCAGGTGACTTCCTGAAGCCCTAAGCTCTTAGCCAGGAACGTTTTTTTCTGGCCAGAAGGCTTTACCAGGCTGTCCCACTGCGGTTAAACCTCTTTCAGTGGGGCCACAGTGCCGTTTAGAAGGTCAGGTGCCCGTGAGCATCAGCCCCTTTGACCCCGAGCCCAAGAAACCTCCCAACTTCCGAAAACGGAGCCCCCGAAACGGGTCCTGCTGCCTTCGTGGTCTGTGAGCTGGGGACAGAAGGCTGCACCGCTTCCCTGCTAAGAAATGCACAGAACATGTCCCCGTTTGCCCAGCGTTCAAGTTCATTTGCCCCGTTTATTACTATTGTTATTATTATCATTACTACTACTACTACTACTACTATTACTATTATTGTTGTATTCTGCCAGGGCTAGGATGTGACAATGTGGCATGTCACATTGGGTCACATCCGCTAGAGTTAATATGCAGCATTGAAGTGGGCCCCCTCCCTCCTCTTCCTCTCTCTGTCTCTGTCTCCCCCTCTCTCTCCCTGTGTTCTCTCTCTTTCTCGCCTCGCCTACCTCTGCTCTCTGGTACCCCCATGAGTATGCACTAAGGCCCCTGAGATCCAGGCCTCTTTGATGCATTAGCGCTCTCTCTGTTCCCCCCCCCCCCCTCTCTCCTCTCCTCCTCCTCTCTCTCCTCTCTCTCCTTTCTCTCCTTTTTCTCTCTCTCCACCAGTCTCTCTTGCATGCTGTTTGTGACTCTGAGAGCTGCATTTATCAATGGAAACTTGTGAGATCCGACAGAAGCTTTTAGAAGGGTTTCTATACCCAAAAACCACAAAAATTTCATTAGAGTTTCTCATCTTTTCCTGGAGGGCCCTGGGGAAGTGGGCGGGGTCCCTGAGTCACCAGAGGGGGCGAGGGTGGAGGGCTGAGATTCCCGCCTGCACCCCCCCCACCTCCTGGTTCCAGCTCTTCCCCTGAGCTCCGTGCTCCATTCTGTCCCTCCCAGAGCCCCCCCACACGCAGCCGGGACCTTCCAAAGCTCCCCACTTGGGAGAGCGGCTGGAGGGTCTGCTCCCTGAAGCCACATCTGCCATCAAAGATGAGAAACAGCTGATAAATTTTTGTGTTCGTAACTGTGCTGTGACCAGCCCCTCTGGTCTCTGAAACCCTGTTGCTATGAAATAATGCTTCATGTCTCTGATTATATATCGATATATCTCTATTGTTTGTGAAGTACCTTCCTTTGAAGTTTTGGTTTCTTTGTGTTGGAATTTGTTTTTTAATTTGGTTTCTTTTTTCTTTTTTTTTTTTTTCATTTGAAATAAAAAAATTTCAACTGGGTGAAGGAAACAGCCTTGTTTATATTTAAATTGTTTTCCACTTTTCCCCCCTTCTTTTTCTTTCTTTCCGTCTTTCCTCTTTTTCTTTCTTCCTGCTTTCTTTTTTCTTCCTCTGCATTGTCTCCCCCCAACTCGCACCCCCAACCCTGTGCATCTCCCTCCCGCCCCCAGTCCGCCGAGTGGCCCCTCGATTCTCCATCTTGCCTGTGAGCCACGAGATCATGCCAGGTGGCAACGTGAACATCACCTGTGTCGCCGTGGGCTCGCCCATGCCCTACGTCAAGTGGATGCAGGGCGCCGAGGACCTGACCCCTGAAGATGACATGCCCGTGGGTCGGAATGTGCTGGAGCTCACGGACGTTAAGGACTCTGCCAACTACACGTGTGTAGCCATGTCCAGCCTGGGCGTCATCGAGGCCGTGGCCCAGATCACGGTGAAATGTAAGCAGGGGGCGCGGGGGAGGCAGGGTTCCCTGAGCCCAGGTGCAGGTGTGGAAGTGCAGCGGGAAAACCTATGAGTTTTGGCTGTGGACATTCGTAGCTTCGAAGGGGGACCATTCTGTGGATCTATATTTATTGGTTATAAATTATTCTGGGCCCCGTGGAATGAGACATGGTCTCATGGTCTTGCTCTGTGGATCTCACAGTCCAGAGCGAGAGGCGCCTGTGTAGCCCGGGAGCTATGACACGGGCCGATTAGGGCCTCGAAGGGGGCCATGCAGCCCCGGTCACATTCCTAGAGGAAAGGCCCCACCTCCCAGGAAAGTGAGTTCAGGGAAAGACTAAAAGTTGAGAGGGAATTCAAGCCGAAGAAGAAGGGCACAGTTCTGAGAGAGAAGAATAGCCCGTGCCAGGACTCGGAGACATCATGGGGGCAGATGTGGGGACTGCCGAGTTTCCCTGTCTCAAGTTCGTCACGAGATTCAGGGGGAGGTGCCCACAGATGTTTTTTCCAGCTTTAAAATGGGGTAGCAAACTGCAGCCCTCAGGCTGAATCTGGCTCTCAACTTGTTTTATAAATAAAGTTTTATTGAGACACACCCATTTGTTCAGGGCTTGTCTGTGGAAGCTTTCTGGCTACAAAGGCAGAGCTCAGTAGTCTCAACAGAGGCCTGTAAAGCTGCAAGTATTTGGTGTCTGGGTTTTTGCAGGAAAAGTGTAAGGAGCCCCACCCCAGGACTATGGAAGTGTCAGTGTCAGCTGGTTTGCTGGTCGTTTGGCTGAGGGGTTGGACTCCTGATGAACGCTTCAGCTCTCCAGGCCACCTGGTCTCTGCCGCACTCGCCACTCACCTCTGCTCTGATAGGGTAGTAGCCATCAGCAATAAATAAGTCAACACTGATGGTAGTCCAGTAAAACTTGATTCACAAAAATGGTGCCAGACTTGGACCATAGTTTGCTGACTCCTGCTGTAGGCGCTGGGATGGGAGTCATTGGTCACTGCCAGGGAAATCAAGGCTCGGAGAGGGCAGTTGGGTAGCTGAAAGTCACACAGCTTTCAGGGTGTCCAGGCCAACATGTGACCATGCTGGCCCCCCTCCCCCAACAGCTCTTCCCAAAGCGCCCGGGACTCCTGTGGTGACAGAGAACACAGCTACGAGCATCACCATCACCTGGGACTCGGGTAACCCTGACCCCGTGTCCTACTACGTCATCGAGTACAAGTCCAAGAGCCAGGACGGGCCGTACCAGATCAAGGAGGACATCACCACGACGCGGTACAGCATCGGTGGCCTGAGCCCCAACTCGGAATATGAGATCTGGGTGTCGGCAGTCAACTCCATCGGCCAGGGCCCCCCCAGCGAGTCCGTGGTGACCCGCACGGGCGAGCAGGCCCCCGCCAGCGCGCCTCGGAACGTGCAGGCCCGCATGCTGAGCGCCACCACCATGATCATCCAGTGGGAGGAGCCCGTGGAGCCCAACGGCCTCATCCGGGGCTACAGGATCTACTACACCATGGAGCCCGAGCACCCCGTGGGCAACTGGCAGAAGCACAACGTGGACGACAGCCTGCTGACCACCGTGGGCAGCCTGCTGGAGGACGAGACCTACACCGTGCGTGTGCTGGCCTTCACCTCCGTGGGCGACGGGCCCCTCTCAGACCCCATCCAGGTCAAGACACAGCCGGGAGGTGAGGTGCCCGCAGGGGCTTGGTGACAGGGGCAGCAGGGTCCAGGGCCGCCCAGTGGAGGGAGAGGCACAGGTGCGGTGACATGCCTGCTCCCGGGTGGGTGGGCGGCTGGCTGATCCTGCCTGGAAGTTACAGCGTGGCTTACTGGTCCCACTTTAAAACATTTCACGCTAGTGTTTCAGAGCAGGAAGTTGTCCCAGAAAACCCAGATTTCTGGCTTCACTCGGGGACTCTGACTTGGCAAGCCCACAGGGCTGTCGCCAGGCGGGCAGACAGGTCCCCTTGGCTGCGTCTGGGTGAAGGCGTGCCGCTTCCCGTTGCCGCCACTTCCTGCTAGCCGCCCGGCCCACTGTTGGCTGCTCTCGTTGGGGAGACTCACGCTGCCCATTTTGAAATGACAAATGGGACACGCATGACCCAGAGGCAGTGGGCTGGCCTCCGGCCACTCAGGCTGGAGGGCCAGGGTCGTCGGGTGGGGGGCATCTTGGTGTGTGGGGCCCCAGCCCTCTGCAGGTCTCTGGTCCTTTCCTCGTGGGTGCAGGCTTCCCGAACCTCAAGTCCAGGAAGACTCAGGCAGCTCAAGCGAAGGGACAGGAGGGTTGGGACTCTGCCCCCACAGAGCGGAAGGGATGTAGATCCCCATCTCCAAACATCGTCCCCACCAGTTTTTCTGTCACTTAGTTTGGGGGGATGGGAGTTGGGGGAGGCGGCGGGGTGATTGGATAAGGGGATTTGGAAGCAGAAAGGATGGGGGGCTGAGGTGGACCGCTGACTCCAGGGAGTACCCCTGGAAAGCAAAGAGTGGTAAGAAGAGTGGGAGAGCATTCTGGAAGTGTCTGGAGACAAACAGCCTGAGCTCCATGGGGCTCTTTGTGAGAAGAATGCAGATACCTGGCAGGTTAGGCGTGCCGGGGGTGGACCCCTCCCTGTCCTCTCCCCATTTCTGTTCCTCTGTCCCCTGCCCCAGTGCCTGGCCAGCCCATGAACTTCCGGGCCGAGGCCAAGTCAGAGACGAGCATCGGACTCTCGTGGAGCCCCCCGAGGCAAGAGAGCATCATCATGTATGAGCTCCTATTCCGGGAAGGCGAGCACGGCCGAGAGGTACCTGGGGGCCAGGCTGGGTGGGGGCAGCGCTGGCCGGGGCCTCCCTCGCCTGCTCTGCGGGGCTGCTGCTGCCTTGCTGGCTCTGTCCGACACCTCTTCCCTCTTCCCACTTCTCTCTGCCTCGTGTGTTGCTAATTTCCCACCTCTCCTTGCTGTTTCTCCATCTCTGCATCTCTCTCTCCCTCTTTCCTCTGCTAACTTTTTTCCCTCTCTCTTCTCTCTTGTGTCTCACCCTGTTCCCTTATTTATAAATTCATCGGTGCCTCTGTCTGTGTGTGTCTTTCTACTCCTTTTTCTCTTTCTGTGTCTTTTTGTGTTTGTCTCTTCCGTGACCTCTCTGTTTATGCCTGTTTGCACCTCCCTGTCTGTGTGCCCGTTTCCGTCCTTGTCGTCGTCTCTAAATCTCTGTGTCTGTGTCTGTGTGTGTGTGTGTGTCTCTCTCGCCGCCCCTGCCCCTGCTCGCAGGTCAGGAGGACCTTCGACCCAGCCACGACGTTCGTGGTGGACGACCTCAAGCCCAACACAGAGTACGCCTTCCGCCTGGCGGCACACTCTCCGCAAGGCCTGGGCGCCTTCACCTCGGTGGTGCGGCAGCGCACGCTGCAGTCCAGTAGGTGTCTCGCGGACCCCACCCTCATCTCTGGGGGGACCCTGGCCGTCGCAGATGACCTCTGTGTGCACTGACCTAGGCTGAGCCTGCCATAGGGGGTGGGGGCGCCTCTGGCCCATCCCCTCCGCACTCCTGGACTCCAGGGCAGCAGGGCTCTGCTCTCTGTGTTCCTGGGGCTGGTTTTGCGGGTTTGCCCTTAGTTTGGGAGGAGCTGCTAACTGCATCTCTCTCTTCCTCTCCCTGGTTTGGGGCTGATTGGAAGGGTACACAGGCTGTCGCGTCTTGCACCCCAGGGAGAGAAAAGGGTGCGGAGACCATCTCAGCTCCCCTGGTGGCCCTTCCTCCCCCACCACAGGGTCCCCATGGCAAAGGGCAGGGGTGGTGGAGCCAGAGCTGACCCTGGGTTTTGGGGGTACTGTAGGGCCCAGTACAGGGCTCTCAAATTTCTAGAGTTCTGTGCTGTGCCTGCCCGGCCTCCCTGTCACAAATAAGCTACCTTTTGGCCAGGACACTGCAGCTGGGACCTGGCTCTGGGCCACCCTGTGGCCCCCGCCACCACCCTCCCTGCCTGTTCCAAGCTCCGAGAGCATGTGCAGGCCCCTCCTCCCGCTGTCGCGCTGCCTCCCTCTCTTCCCTCTGCTCTCTCCTCTCTGCTCAGCCTAGCCAGGCATGGCCTCTGGTGTGGCCTCCACCGCCGTGGTCTCCACTGCCGTGGCCTTCGTCGTTGTGGCCCTCCTCCCCTCCCACTTCTCAGTCAGTCACGTGTAGCCACCCAGGCCTTGTACTGGAAGCAGTCTCAGTGTGCAAACATTGAGCCGCGCCCCCATCTCCCTGCCAGGTGTGTGCACCTGGGGGGGACCACTGGTCAGTCGAGAATGGCAGCAGCTCGGGTCAGGATGTCTGAGCTGCTGGGGTCAGGGGCCTCGGAGACACAGCACCCTGCCACCCTCAGCCCCTTCCTTCCTCCACGCTCCTCCGTGCCGAGCCGGGCGCTCTGCAGGTCACAGGCGTCTGGGCGTTCTTGTGCGTGAGGCGATCAGTGAGGGTGTCCTGTGGCTTGGGCAGCCACGTGAGAGACTGGCACAGGTGCCACCCAGGTGAGTACGCGCTGGTCTCAAGCAAGTTCACAAAGACGGCCCACCCTGCATGTCCCCCACCAGCCCCAGCAGCTCTGGGCTGCACGGACAGTCCAGAGCCCAAATTCAGCCCCCCAAGTTCTCTGCCCCACTGCCAAGAGGCCTGCCCACCTGCCCAGACGTGGGGAATCTGGAGTCACACGATGCCACACACACCTGCCTGATCCCGTCCATACCTGCCCCCTCCTGAGATGCCATGCAGGTTGGGCCGGATTGTGAAGGAGGCGGCCTCCAGGGTCGCCAAGAAAGTGGCTTTGGCCCAGCCATGCGAACCTCGGGGCGGCCCAGGACAGGGACCGGGCGAGAAGGGACTCTTCACTTCTCACCCTGAGACGGGTGGGGCCTGAGAAAACTGGCAGCCAAGACTCAGGGCCAGGCGTGTCTCCCCCGGGGCTGCGGGCTTCTTAGGCTGAACTCAAGGGTAGGTGGAGGCCAGACCACTCAGCCGTGGGTCTCCCCTGACACCATCCCACCTCCCCGCCTCGCCGGCACCAGTCCGGAACTGCAACGTGCCCGCACTGGGGGCCAGAGTAGGGCTGTAGGCCCGCTTGCGCCTGGAGACCCACCCAGAGCTCGGTCTGGCCTTGTAGCTCAGCGTTCGCCATTCCCTCCCTCGTAAGAAAGTCATATAAGTTAGCAGTTGAAGAGTGGAAGGTAGGTAACCAGACTGGGAGTTTCCTGGAAGGCGTCTTTCTTTTATTATGGTTTTCCTCATCATCATCACCATCACCGTCGTTTTATGTTTTATTATGGTTTGGTTTTATTTTCCCTCTCTCTGTCTCAGCGAATTCATTTCTTCTGGCACATTCCTCGGTTGGTTTTTTCACTCCTGCCTGATTCCCGTGGGCACTTTTGATTGGGGTGGCTGGTCAAGAAATGTAGGAGGGGGCACTCCGGTATTTCACTTCGAGTGAGGCTGCAGGGTCATTCTAGTTGAAGTGGGTCGGTGGAATGGCCTCTGGGGTCTCTTGCAGCCTGATGACTTTGGAGACAGAGGCTTCCAATCCTCCCTGGATCCCAGGGTCTGGCTCAGAGTGGGCGTGTAGTGAACACTCTGCAAACACATGTGCAGAGAACAAATGGGGCTGGCACGATGGGGAGGGTTCTTGGTGCCTTGACATCCAGCAAGGCCAGTGACTTTTCTGGGCCACCCTCTAGGCGAGGCGGACTCACATCGTGGGCAGCAGGGGGAGCACGGTTCCAGCCGTCCTCAACCACCCAGAGCTCACAGGCAGCGCAGGCTGAGGCCAGAATTCCCAGCCACATGCCGAGGCTGCCCTCGGAGAGCGGCTGAGCCCACGTCCCTGTCCTGCCTCTTGCCACATGCCCTAGGGCTGGCAGCTTGCCATTTCCTGGCCTCAGTTTCCTCATCTATAAAAGGGGTGGTGCTATATGAAGAGTGCCCAGTAGGTACTCAATCAGTGATAACAGAAAACCCAGGCAGGTGGGTTTTTTAACCTAATTCTCCACCTGTAACATGGGGCAGGGCTGGAGGAGTGATATAGTTCTGGCTCCCTAGGGTGGCCGTGAATATTAAATGAGGCTTGATCAGTGGGATGCATTTTGAGTCTATAAAGTACTTGGGGTGCTGGGTGTGCAAAAGGTGCATAGAACTTGAGGTTTATTATCCCTAATGGCCTTACACAGGGCCTGGTCCATAGTGGGTGCTCAACACATGGAGAATATTTCATAAAGTCTTTAACACACAGTAGGTGCTCCAGATATGCATCTGCTGTTTTAAATCTAAACAGATGGTCACAGTGCTGAGCATATCATTGACAGTGAATCAAAGCTATTAGCAGTTTGTCACAAGGTTAACCTCATTCCGGGCACACAGTAGGTACCCAAAACACGAGGGCTACTATTATTGTTCTGCAAAGCCCTTGGTACAGTGCCTGGCATACAATAAGTGGTGCATTCTTTAAAGAACTTGTCCTGATGCTAGACACGAAGTAGGTGTGCAGGTGGGAGCCATTGTCAGCCTGAAAGGCCTGACTCAGTGCCAGGACTCAGTTTTTACTCAAAATATGGAGCTTATTATCTGCAAAGCCCTGGGCCCCATGTGTGCAAGTAACTGGTGCTCAATAAGAACTACTACCATTTTTATATAAGGCCCTTGGCATAGTGCCTGGCACACAGTAAGTGCTTAATACATGGGAACTTTTACCCAGTAAAACCCTTAGTATAATGCCTGGCATATAGTAGGTACTTAATATATGGGGACTACTACTGTTACCCAGTAATACAGTTCTTGGCATATAGTAGATGCTTAAGAAGTGAGAACTATTCATGTTCTACAAGGCCTTTAGTACAGTGCCTAACACTGTAGGCGCTTTATATGTAGGAACTGTTACTGTTTTTCAGTTAACCCCCTAGCACAGTGCCTGGCACACAGTGTGTGCTTTTTAGAATATGGAGACTGTCACTGTTACCTGGTAAAGTCCTCGGCACAGTGCCTGGTGGCACGTGTAGGTGCTGCATAAAAGGCAACTGCTGTTTTTATCTGTAGAGGGCCATTATGGTGCCCAGCCCATAGTAGGTGCTCAGTAAATAAGACTTGCTGTTGATCTTTAATGCTTAGTGTGGTGCCAGGTGCAGAGTAGGGGCTCAAAACAGCTCTGATCTATCAAGACCTTGGCACACAGTAGGTACTAAATATGGGGTGTGCTCTCCATAAAGCAATAAGCAGGCACTTGTGGTATGACTCTGTACAGCCTCTGGAATGCTCACTGGTACATAGTAGGTACTCAAGACATCAGCATCAGTTTCAGTGAGGCCGAGACTGGGTCCTGGTGGATGTAGGGCATGGGGTAGCCTCTGGGGTCTCTTGCAGAGCAGGTGTTCAGGATATAGGTGCTTTTACTGTTAACTCAGGAAATTCTTAGCACCATGCCAAGCATACAATAGGTACCTAGTAATGGGACTTTTACTGCTGTTCCCCTAACGTTCTATTCCCCTGGCACACAGTAGGCATTCAGTAAGTAAATGCATTTATTGCTACTCTGCGAAGCTCTAGCACTATACTTAGCACACAGTGGATGCCCAATAAATGTGGCTTTTACTGCTAGCATAGTCCCTGGCACACAGTAGGTGTTCAATAAACAAATATTTTACTGTCACTCTGTGAAGCTCGGGGTGCCTAATAAATGGAGCTTTTATTGCTATTCCTTTGGCACACAGTAGGTGTTCAGTAAATTAGTGTATTTATGTTACCCATCCCTGGCACACAGTAGGTGCCCTGTAAATGGAGCTTTTTTCCTGGCACAGTGCCTGGCACACAGTAGTTACCTAACAAATGGGGCTTTATTGCTTTTCCACTTTGGCATGGTGGCTGGCACATAGTAGGTGTCCAGTAAGTGGGGCTTTTATTGTTGTTCTCTGGCAGAAGGCTTAGCACATAGTAGATGTTCGATAAGTAAGTACCTGTACTATTCTACGAAGCGCTTGGCATATAGTGGGAGTTTTAACAAATAGATGCTTTTGCTGTTGTTCTGTGAAGTTCTTGGCACCGTGCCTGGCACATAGTAGGTGCCTAGTAAACAGGGCTTTTATTGCTGTTCCTCGTCACAATGCCTGGCACACACCTGTGTGCCGCACAGAGGCTGTGGCTGCGCACTACCTACGACCTGCTCTGTGTCGGGTAGGTGCAGCCATCTGAGTGAGCACAGTGTTCTTGGCCAGCCCTCCCAGCCCTGCCTCCACCCACCCATCTCACCTTCGGTTGACACCCGCTTCTTTTGGGTTCGACTTCTCTTTGCTTTGGTCCTGTTTTGTTTGTTATCATCTTCTTTTTTATTTTCTCTTTCCCATCTTTTGTTTCCCCGCCCCTCCTGCCCATCCCGCCTCCCTTCCCCACTCCCACGTTCTCCCCCCCCCCAATAGAACCGTCTGCCCCCCCTCAAGATGTTAAGTGTGTCAGCACACGCTCCACGGCCATTTTGGTAAGTTGGCGCCCGCCGCCGCCGGAAACGCACAACGGGGCCCTGGTGAGCTATAGCGTCCGCTACCGACCGCTGGGCTCGGAGGACCCGCAACCCAAGGAGGTGAACGGCATCCCCCCGACCACCACTCAGATCCTGCTGGAGTCACTGGACAAGTGGACGGAGTACCGCATCACGACTGTCGCTCACACAGAGGTGGGACCAGGGCCCGAGAGCTCGCCCGTGGTCATCCGCACCGACGAGGACGGTAAGCACCACCCTGGCCCGGGGACCCCTGCAGGCCCCAGCCCATCCATCCTGCCTTGGAGCCTCCTATCTGGAAAACTGGTGGCCAAAAGGTAGAAGCCACTGTCATGAGAGGGAAACAAGAAGCAAGCTCCCTGCCCAATAAGTCCTGGGCTCCTTGACTTGGAATTCTCTGTCCCAGACCTCTGGGCACCGTTGGCTCCCTGAGCCTTGTGCCTGGAAAGCTGAGCTGGCAGCCCTATAGTTTGGTCCAATGGCAGAAACCATGGAAGCAAAGTGTAAGAAGCAGCAAGTAGCATTTGTAAAAAAAAAAATTGTGGTCTCTAACCCCAGATTTAGCTTTTAGATTTATCCTAGGATGAGCCAGCATCCACAGCTTCCTGGGTATAAAGCACCAGCTCTCTGGGAGACGGAGGTGGATTTCTACCATTAGTCAGTTTTTGCGGTGTCAATATTCCTGCCCTAGCCAAGTGCATGATAGAAAGTTTTAAGATGCACAGGGATGTGGGCACTCACCTTGGTAAAGCTGAGGGCCTGGGTCGAATTGAAGTGAGCAGCTTCCTCGATAAAACCAAGCCCCTTTGAACCTGGTTTGCTTTTTGAGCCATTGACCTAGAAGGTTCGATCGGCAGCCCCCTGTTGTGTCCTGAGCATGGGGAAGAAACGAAGCAGCCCCTCATGGGGGGCGGGCAGGTGGAGAGGCCTCTGGCCTGGGGGCTGGCCAAGAAAGACTCTGAGCAGGCCAGCTGCACTCCGGGGGCTGTAGGAGCAGGCAGCTGGCTGCCCGAGTTCTGTCCCCTGCTGTGCCTCTTTCTCACCCTGTGATCACGGGCTCAGCGCCCTGGGCCTCGGTTTTCTTCTCTGTAAATGAGAAAAAGAGCCCCTGACTGGAAGGCCTGCTGTGAGGATGGTGGCAGCCTGCGGAAAGTCACGAGGCCCTGGGTGGGGGCCGTAGGCTGGGGTGCTGCGCAGTGGCCCTGTCTGTGCGCAGGGCACACCCGCAGGGCCCCTCCCTGGGTGGGGAAGGCGTGGTGGAGGCACGCCCTCCTGGCTGTGGTGTGCACTTAGAGCAGGCACCCCGTTAACTAGCAGCCGCTCAGCACCCTGGCATCCGGCAGCCGCCCGGGGCAGGGCTGGACGCCCCAGTAACGGTGCCCCCCGCCCTCCCCCCTCCACTCCCTGCTCCCCTCCCCTCGCCAGTGCCCAGCGCGCCTCCGCGGAAGGTAGAGGCGGAGGCGCTCAACGCCACGGCCATCCGCGTGCTGTGGCGCTCACCTGCGCCAGGCCGACAGCATGGCCAGATTCGCGGCTACCAGGTCCACTACGTGCGCATGGAGGGTGCGGAGGCCCAGGGGCCGCCACGTATAAAGGACGTCATGCTGGCTGATGCCCAGGTGGGCGGGGCTTTGGGGAGGGGCCTAGGTGGGTGGGGTTCTAGGTGGGCGGGGATTTGCCCCACCCTGTGCTCCTGCCCTCTTGCTGCTTCTCTCTCTGGCCACCCTGCTCATCTCCTCCTCTCTCCCCTGCCGCCTCCTCCCACGCCCAGTGGGAGACGGATGACACGGCTGAATATGTAAGTAGCACCCTTCGGCCACTGGCGTGCTGTGTTCCGGCCGTGTCTTGCTGTGCTGTGACACCCCCTGCCCCCATCCCTGGGTCTCCTCCCCTGGGTCCCAGGTGCACATCCCATTACCTCTTGGAGCTCCTAGTCTCAGTCTTCACATCGGGGATATGGGCACAGCAGCCCCAGGAGGCACCTGCTGGGGACCCTAGAAGAGGGCCCTGGGCATGAGGCAGAGCCCCGGACCCAGAGGCCATCCGTGTCCTTCTCACCTGGATGGCCCCCAGGCTCCCAGCTATACGAGCCCCTACCTCACTGGCGGTCTTCACCACCGTACCTGTGCTCAGGCCCTTCCTGGAATGCCTCCTTCACCCCAGCATCTCCCCATCCTACCCAGGCTAGAGCTGCATCACTTTCCGACCCAGCCTGACCCTTTCATCACCTGCCTCAACCCTCCCTGACCTAGGGATTCCCTCTCTATCTGAAGTGTCCGCTTCCTCCTGGCCCTTGCGTAATGACAGGGGTCAGTGGGCCCAGGGTGGGTGGAAGCCTGTGGCACCACCGTGTTCATCCTTTTAAGCTTTCCCCAGAGGCCCTGAACCAAAGTCGAGATTGCTGTGTGACTTTGGGCAAGTCACTGACTCTCTGCCTTCAATATGGAGGCCACAGGGTCTTCTGCAAGCCCCAGGTCTGATGTTAAAGTGACACTGGCCCTACCCCTCCTGTAGGGAATGTCAGCCCCTCCCAGCCGCCCAGACCCTGAGAGGGAGGAAGTGCAAGGCTCAGGGGCAGGAGACCCTCTGTTCACGCATCCCTGACCCTCCTCGTGCTCCTGACCCAGGGACACCCCTTAGCCCCGGGCATGCTGGGCCTCGTCTGTGGTGTGCATGTGTGGGAGATGGGCACGCGTGTGGCGGTGCACGTGGGGGTGTGTGGCGTTCCTTGAACCAGCAGTCATTTGCTGAACACCTACTATAGGCTACAGCCTGTGCAAGGGGCCGTGGAAGTGACAGTGACCAAGACAGAGCCCTGTGCCGGCCCTTCCTGGGGTCACGGCTCAGTGTGGGAGAGGGACACTCATGGGGAAAGACACAGATACATGTCTAGTTACCGCTCTCTGGGAGGCAGGGTGTAGACAGTGGTATAGACGTCAGCTTTCCAGACGGGCGGGAGGGGGCAGCCCTGGTCGGCATGCAGCCTCTGCCGGTGGTGGGGATGCGCCCACCACGTCGGTCTCCAGCCGCTGGCTGTCATGTTGCACCACAAGGTGTAAGAGACAAGATAACCTTGATGGTTACCTTACCGTAGACGGTGGTAAACATAGTAGAATAAATTGGGGGGGGGGGTTGCATATATAATATCCTTGAGTTTTTAAATTTTATTTTTATTATAAGTTTATATACTTTACTTTTTAATAATGACTTCAATAACTGGCTCACAAAATTCCTGAGAATTTAATTGTTGGCTCTCGCAAGCTGGTATAGGAAATTCCAGCATGCCAATGGGCATAGTGGAGGCAGAGGGAACAGCCTGTGAGAAGGTCCTGGGGCAGGGCCATGCCTGGCATGTTGGAGGAACAGTGAGGATGTCCTTGTAGCTGGAGCAGAGTGAGTGAAGGGAAGAGGAGGAGGTGAGAGCAGGGAGGGGACCTGGCAGGTGTTGCAGGGCCTTGTAAGCCACGAGGAGGATTTGGGCTTTTACCCCGAGGGAGGTGGGAGCCCTGGAGGGCTGTGGGCAGAGGACCGGCACAGGCACCCTCTGGTGGCTGCTGCAAGGACCGACTCTGGGGTAGGGGGTGGGACCCAGATTACTGGAGCAAAGGCAAGGGCCCTACTGCATGCAGTCAGGCTGCGTGCGCCCGGATCAGCATGGACCTGTACCTGTCGGGGTCTGTGCATGTGGTCGGGTGCACGTCTCTGCCAGGGGGCCAGGCCCCACACCCACCTGTTTGAGCCCAGCCCTGGAAGGAGGGTGGGTGGGGCTGGTCTCAGCTCGGGTTGCATCGATGACCCTGCCCCTGCCTGCAGGAGATGATCATCACAAACCTGAAGCCCGAGACCACCTACTCCATCACTGTAGCCGCCTACACCATGAAAGGCGATGGCGCTCGCAGCAAACCCAAGGTGGTAGTGACCAAGGGAGCAGGTACGAGACCCCCTCCTCCAATGGCTCCTCGGCCCTCACGATGTCCCTGCAGAGTTATTGCACTCTTGTGGGGAGAGGGTGGGCTGGGCAGGGGGAACCTCCAGGGCAAAGGGGTGGGCACTGCTCAGGGGGGCATCTGGGACCCAGCCAGACCCAACCCCATCTCATCCTCCTCACTCTCACCCTCAGTAGCCACTTGGCTGCAGCCAGATGCAGATAGCTAAGGGTCGCCTCGAACCCCTTGTCCTCCTGGCTTTGCCCGGCTGCCTGGACGCCCTCTCTGGCCTGGCTGCCTCCTCCCCATGCTTTAGGTCTTTACTTTGTCTCTCTCTCATTGGGGGAGGCTTCCCAACCCCCTCCATGCCACAGTCTCGGTTCGATGCCCCTCCTGGGCCCTCCCAGCACCCTGTCATTCCTCTATTGGCTCCGGCCACCCTGGGGGGGTTGTCACTTGGGGAGCTGTGCCTGTCTTCCCAGCTGCACCTTCAAGTCCCCCTCCCAATAGCCCTTCCTCATTTTCCCTTTTCTGGCTCTTCCCGTCAGTCCCAAGGGTCTGCTTTCTCGCCAGCCACAAAGGCTTGGAGAAGGGAGAAAGGGGGAAGAGGTGACTGTGCAGATGTAAGGGGAGGGTATTCCAAGCAGAGGGCACGGCCCAGGCAAAGGCTCGGAGAGGGGAACAGGCTCAGTGTGTCCGAGAAACCACAGAAAGGCCTCTGTGCCACTCCCCGCACCCACTGCTCCCTTTGGGGCCCTCGGTGCCCCACCTCTATGCTCACAGACAGACGCGTAGGCTCGACACAGCCCCTCTCCACACTGCTGTCTGCCATGCCCATGTGTCTCCTGAGCCTGGCTAGGCTGTGCATCCTACAGTGCCCAGTGCCCCTGCTGCTGCCTCCGAGGAGCCTCTGAGGCTCCCTCCCCCTCTCTGAGGGACGTGGCGTTAGGGCCGTGCTTGCCGAGCGCAACCCACTGCACTCACGGTGACCGCTCACAGCACCGCCCATCCGAGGTCCTGCAGTGGAGAAGCGTGCTTCCCCTCTCCCTTACCAGACCCCGAGACCTCTTTTGGCATATTCATTACTACTCAGGCTGCGAGAACCATAGGGCACAGGCAGGATTCGGACGCTCTTGTGTCCCGTGGATATTAATCAGGTGCCAGGATGGGCAAATAGACCAGGCAGGAAATGTGCGGCTTACTGACTAAAGGAAGACACAGATGAGGCCTGCTCTGAACTCTGGGGTGTTTTCCTTTACTGGGTTCTCTGAGTCCCTGGCCACCTCCTTGTTCCTCAGACTGCCCCCGCACCGTCCTACCTTGGGGCCCGTGCACTGGCTATTCCCTCTGCCTGGAACTCTGTCCTTCCCAGACCTCCCTGTGGCTTCCTCCCTCACCTCCTTCAGGTGTCCGTGTCTCGGGGAGGCCTCTCTGAGACCCACTTTTAAAAACACCAACCCCGCCCCGTGCCCCCAAACTGGCAGGGAGTCACTGACGCCGGCCCCGTGTCCCCACAGTGCTGGGCCGCCCCACCCTGTCGGTGCAGCAGTCCCCCGAGGGCAGCCTGCTGGCACGCTGGGAGCCCCCAGCCAGCACCACCGAGGACCAGGTCCTGGGCTACCGCCTGCAGTTCGGCCGCGAGGACTCATCACCCCTGGCCACGCTCGAGTTCCCACCCACGGAGGACCACTACACGGCGTCAGGAGTGCACAAGGGGGCCACATACGTGTTCCGGCTGGCGGCCCGGAGCCGAGGCGGCCTGGGCGAGGAGGCGGTGGAGGTCCTGAGCATCCCAGAGGACACACCCCGCGGCCACCCGCAGATCCTCGAGGCGGCCGGCAACGCCTCGGCTGGCACTGTCCTGCTGCGCTGGCTGCCCCCGGTGCCTGCCGAGCGCAACGGGGCCATTGTCAAGTACACAGTGGCAGTCCGGGAGGCCGGTGCCCTGGGCCCTGCCCGAGAGACCGAGCTGCCGGCAGCGGCCGAGCCCGGCGCTGAGAACATGCTCACGCTCCAGGGCCTCAAGCCCGACACGGCCTATGACCTCCAAGTGCGGGCCCACACGCGCCGGGGCCCCGGCCCCTACAGCCCCCCTGTCCGCTACCGGACGTTCCTGCGGGACCAAGGTAGGCGCGGCAACCCCACACCAGAGCCGGACCGGCCTCGTGCCCACCCCCGCCCCAGCCCCCTCCCTCTCCCCCGCCCAGGTAAGTGGTCACTTTTCTGCTTCCTCGTGGATGCTCGAGGCGAGTCTGGACCCTGAGGCTCTGGCGTTGGCAAAGGTGGGACGTGCCTCGGCGGCACCGCCATCCCCCACCCCCTCCCCCTCTGCCTTCTCTCTGCAGCCGCGCCGTCTCCCCCAGCAGGGTCTTGGGACAGGGCCAGGCAGGGCCGGGCCAGGGCCAGGCAGGAAGGCCACAGGCACAGTGGACGACAGGGAACGCCTGGGCCGCCCCGCCCCCCCCCACGCCCCCTCCCAGCCCACACCTGGCTCTCACGGGGCTTCTCTTTTCTCTCCCCCTCTCGGCTGCTGCCCGCAGTCTCGCCCAAGAACTTTAAGGTGAAGATGATCATGAAGACGTCGGTCCTGCTCAGCTGGGAGTTTCCCGACAACTACAACTCACCGACGCCCTACAAGGTGCAGGGCGGCCCCTGGCAGGCCGGTGGGCGGGGCCAGGACCTGGCGCTCGGTCTGGAGTCGAGGCTTGTTGGGGTGGTGGGTGGCGTTGGAGTTCAGGTGGGCTCAGGGCTGAGGAGAGTTGGGCTTCCCGGGGACTGAGGTGCAGTCTGGTCTGGGTCTTCGTTTGCCATTAGGGCTCAGATAGCCTGGGGCCAGGGCCCAGCCTGGAATTAGGGCTGAGAATTGGGGCTGAGCAGGGATTGAGGCTCTGTCTAGGGTTGCAGTTGAGGTTTAGGGTTAGGGCTCAGTCAGAGTTGGGGCTCAATTGGGATTAAGAATCAGTCTGGGGTTGGGGTCATTCTGGGGTCAGGGCTCAAAGTTGGGACTCAGAGCTGGACTTCAGCCTGGGGCCCGGGCTCAGCTGGGATTGAGGCTCCACCTGGGGTCAGTCGAGCGGGGTCAGGGCTGCGTCTGGGACCCGGTCTGGGGTGGCAGCCGGCCCAGACCCGCGCTGAGCCGGCCCGGCCCGCAGATCCAGTACAACGGGCTCACTCTGGACGTGGATGGCCGCACCACCAAAAGGCTCATCACGCATCTCAAGCCCAACACCTTCTACAACTTCGTGCTGACCAACCGCGGCAGCAGCCTGGGCGGCCTCCAGCAGACGGTCACTGCCTGGACCGCCTTCAATCTGCTCAGCACCAAGCCCAGCGTGGCCACCAGGCCCAACCCCGACGGCTTCATCGTGGTGCACCTTCCCGACAGCCAGAGCCCCGTGCCCGTCCAGTACGCTCAGCCCCCCAGCCCCCGGGTCCCACACACCCCCCGTTAGCCAGTTGACGTGTGGCGGGGCAGCCCTGTGCCCTCTCCGCGCCCTGGCTCCCTCCCCTGGCCAAAAAAACAGGGGCTAGGTCAGCCCCATCTTGTGTGGCTCCCACACGTCCCATGGGAGTGGTCACCGCGTGTGGCCGGGCGTCTGCCTCTCCGACGTTTTCTGACAGCCCTGGGTGCCTGCCTGTCTACTGGTTTGGGCGCCCAGAATGTCGGGTGGTGTGGCAGCAAGAGGCAGAGAAGAATTGAGGGCCACAAAAGCGTGTGGGTGTGGTAGCTGGGGCTCTGGAGGCTGTGTAGGAATTCAAGAAGTATAGCTGCAAGGGATAGGCTTCCCGGGCAGGAGGCACAGTGCGATCAAAGGCCTGGAGGTTGGACCGCGGCTGGGGCTACAGGGAAGGGACCCACCGCGTGGGTGGAAGGGAAGACTTGGAAAGGGAGGCCCCCACACACCCCGGGCAGCATCTGTCTGGTCACGCCTGTAGACGGCCCCCCTGTGGCTCTTCGTCTCGTGACAGGAGCTACTTCATCGTGATGGTGCCGCTGCGCAAGTCTCGTGGCGGCCAGTTCCTGACCCCGCTGGGCAGTCCAGAGGACATGGACCTGGAGGAGGTGAGGGCTGGGCCCACCCTGCAAGGGACAGACATGTCCTGGCTGTCGTGAGCCCATTGGCTCCCAGCTGGGCCCCGGGCAGCCCACACTCCTGTCCCCACAGCTCATCCAGGACATCTCCCGGCTGCAACGGCGCAGCCTGCGGCATTCGCGCCAGCTCGAGGTGCCCCGGCCCTACATCGCAGCCCGCTTCTCCATGCTGCCGTCCACCTTCCAGCCTGGTGACCAGAAGCAGTACGGTGGCTTTGACAACAGAGGCCTGGAGCCGGGCCACCGATACGTGCTCTTTGTGCTCGCTGTGCTGCAGAAGAGCGAGCCTGTAAGTCCTGAGGGGTGTCTGCCCACGCCCAGCCCCGCCCAGGGCCTCCACCTCTGGGGCCCTGGCCTCAGAGCCGGACACAGATCCCGCCTCCTGGGCAGACGGGAGCTGGGGGAGTCGCAGGGGAGAGGCGTTGTGGAGTCAGGGGCTTGGGAACTGGGGCTCTGACTGGATGTGTAGGAGTTCGACAGAAGACAGCACCCCAGGCAAAGGTCTGGAGGTCCAAGAGGGGCAGAAGGGGCTGCAGAGTGGCTGAAGCAGAGGGGCAACGGGGAGAAGGCCCCACTGGCCAGGGCCGAGCCATGCAGGCCACCCCCAGGGTCCATTTTCTTGGGAGCCACAGAGCAGAGCGCCCAGAGCAGGGGAGGGACGTGGCCCCGAGTGGCCCCGGAGGGAGGGTGGACGCTGACAGGCGCCTCCCCGCCCGCCCGCCCGCCCGTGCAGACGTTCGCCGCCAGCCCCTTCTCAGACCCCTTCCAGCTGGACAACCCGGACCCGCAGCCCATCGTGGACGGCGAGGAGGGGCTCATCTGGGTGATCGGGCCTGTGCTGGCCGTGGTCTTCATCATCTGCATCGTCATTGCCATCTTGCTCTACAAGAAGTGAGTCCGCGGCACCCCCTGCCTGCTAGGAGAGGGTTTCCCGGGAAGGCGGGTGGCGTGGAAAGCTCCAGGGAAGTGTCCTCCCGAAGACCGTCGGGGAGGCCTTCCGGGGCACAGAGAGGGGGACCCAGGCCCAGGCCCAGGGGGCGGGCATTCGATCCTGGTCCCTCAGCCTGGGCAGTGGCGGGACCGGGGTTCACCCCAGGCCGGCGGTGTGACTCCGCCTGAGCCTCATGCTCCACGCAGCAGGAGGACGGGGTGGAGGCTCTCTGCCCGGTTTAATGCGGGGGTGGGCGTAGTGGCCACGTGGGGCCTGTCCCAGCTTGGAGAGGGAGGGGGGTGGGCCTGGCAGAAAGGATCGGCCCTATTTTCTGGATGAGACCAGGCTCAGGGAGGTTCAGAGAGCCACCCGCCGTCAGAACAGGCCCTTTGTGGCTAGCACTCCCTCACCTGACTTCTCTTTCCTCCTCACCTGTGTGTCTGCGTCTGGGAGCAGCAAACCTGACAGGTAAGAGCTGGCCCCGCCCTGTAGAGGCCTGGGGCAGGAGGGAGAATGGGGTGGTGCTGAACCTTGCAGGGGGGCCTGGTTGCCCCGGAGACTGCACACGTGTGCACGTGTGGTCCCAGTCGGGCACGCACACAGTCCCTTTCCCACCGCTGGGTGAGACGTTCTTGGGTCCTGGAGTGTGTTCACTCTTGGATTCTTCCTCCTCCCCCCGCAAAGCAAACGCAAGGACTCGGAGCCCCGCACCAAATGCCTGCTGAACAACGCCGACCTCGCCCCCCACCACCCCAAGGACCCCGTGGAAATGAGACGCATTAACTTCCAGACACCAGGTGTGTGCTTATCCCAGGTGCCAGGGGCGACACTGACAGGGCACAGGAAGCTGCCTCCCGGCGACCCTCATCTTCCCCCTCAGGCCGTGCTCCATCAGGCCGTGCTCGGTGCAGTTCCAGTCCCGACTCCCAAATGCCCGCGTGGGTCCCGGCCGGGGCGCTCCAGGGCTGGTTCTGCTCTCTGCCAAACGAGTCGGGAAAAGCTGGGTCTCACGGGTGGTGGCCGTCTCCTGGGAGGAAGTAGCCCCCGCCCCCACCCGTTCCTGCTGGCAGGGAGAGCTGGGCTTCTGGTCACACCGCTCCTGCTCCTCTTCAGGGCGCCGGGCTTTTCCCCACGCCCCACGGGTGTGCGTCCCCCGGGGTGTGCACCCAGCAAGGCGCAGAAACCGTGCCTCCCACGCGCCCTGTCCCGCCCTCCATGGCCACAGATGCTCACACTCCTGCCTCTAAACAGCGCCCTGTGGGTGGAAGGGGTGCAGCTGAAGTCACCTGCGGGGGTGACACTGAGTCAGGGTCTTGTCCTCCCTCGGCGCTGCTGCCGGGCTGTGTCGTGTCAGTTCTGTGTGTGTTCGCCCAGACGAGGGTTTCGAGCGTTCGGGTCACCTGGCGGCTGCGTCCCTCCCTCGGGGGTCCTGGAGGTCTCACAGGGCCCCTCCGACCTGCTCCCTTCTCCTTCCTGTCTGACATCAGTTCTTCCATCCAAACGCGGGCGAAGCCCGTGTTTCACGATGGCTGCTTCCCTCCCTCAAGTTCGAGCACTGGTCCCTGTGTCCCTCCCCGGCCCTCAGGTTTCTCCCTCACCGTCCTGCCTCCTCCTCCACAGCCCCCCAGGGACCCCGACGGGGGCCCAAGGCCAGGCTGGCGTGGGGGGCGCGCACTGACAAGAGAGCCCGAAGGTCACGGCCAAACCCCAGGCAGAGGAAGCCCAGCAGCCACCCCAGGCCCCGGGCTGGGGCTGGCGGCCATGTGTCTCCCCTCCCCCCCACCCCCCCGTGTGGAAGTCGCTCTGCCCTCCCACCCCCCGCGTCTGTCGCCCGGCTGTCATGCGTGCACCCAGCAGGGGTGGGGGAGATGGGCCACCCGCGTGTTTTCATTTATTTATTGTTTGCTGTTTCTGCAGATTCAGGCCTCAGCAGCCCCCTCAGGGAGCCGGGGTTTCACTTTGAAAGTTAGTTCCTGTGTCTTTCTGTTCTCGGCTCCCGCCCCGCGCCCCTCGTTTGTTTTCATCTTCGGTTCCTCCATCTCTCTGCCGCCTCTCTCTGCCCACCTGTCCTGCACTGGCTTCCGTGGGGGGCGGGGGGTTAGGGTTAGTGCCCTTCGGGTGCCGGTTGCGACTGTGTTGCAGGGTGGGGACAGGGACGTAGGTGGACACAGGCATACGTACATAAGAGCAGGAGTCCACCTGTGTGATGGACAGACAGAGCCACCAGGCAGATGGACACCAGCCTCAGGCCCCGTAGAGGTGGGCTCTTGGGGGTCGTCCGGGGCCCCACTTAGAACAACAGCTGTCGCCCGGCCTGGTGGCGGCGTGCGGCTGCAGCGTGCGTGTGCATGCACGGTCGGCGCCAGCCTGGCAGCGGATGGGGTCGGGCAGACCCGGGCGTCAGGGAGAGAGCCAGGCCCAGCCACCCCGGGGCTCTGCAGACGGGGGCCGTCGCTGCTCCCTGTCCCAGACAGGAAACGGGCTGAGGGCGCCTGCCCTGAGCTGGCGCCCTGACAGGCGGGGACACGCCGCGTCTGCCCTGTGGCCCCTCAGGCCTCCCTGGCAGGCCTCTGCGGGCCCTGTGGTCCCAAAGGGGCAGACGGGAGTGTTCCTCCCCCACCCCAGGGAACAATGTTCCTTCATTTCTGCTTCTTCATTTCTGTGTCACCCGCCTGCTTCCTGCCACGAGGCACCAGGAGCTTGGAGTCTGTCCTCCAGGGCAGCCCTCCCCCAGCTGGGTTGGGGACGGAGCAGGGGCACGGCGTGAGCAGGGTGTCGGGCTTGGCCAGGAGCCGAGCCTCTGGTGCCCCCACGTGCACACGCGCAGGCCTGGGGTCCCCGCCCCACCACGCCCTCTAACCGCAGCTCACCCATCGCAGACTCACACTGTAGAGCACCCCGTCCCTCCCGGCCTCTGGGCTGGCCCCTGGTGACCAGCCCGCACTGGCGGGGTCTGCTCTCCCCTCAGGCATGCTCAGCCACCCGCCCATCCCCATCTCGGACATGGCCGAGCACACAGAGCGCCTCAAGGCTAACGACAGCCTCAAGCTCTCCCAGGAGTATGAGGTGAGCTGGGCCCCGCCGCCCGTCCGCCTGGGCCCCCGGATGCGCCCCCCCCCCGACACCCCCTCTGACCCCCCCACCTCCCCTTTCCCCACAGTCCATCGACCCGGGCCAGCAGTTCACGTGGGAGCACTCCAACCTGGAAGTGAACAAGCCCAAGAACCGCTACGCCAACGTCATCGCCTACGACCACTCCCGCGTCATCCTCCAGCCCATCGAAGGTAGCGCAGCGCCCCAGGCTCCGCCCCGCCCTTCCCCACTCCCCAGGCAGCCCACAGGCCCCACACCTCCTCCCGGACATGGCCGGGCCGGCGCAGACAGGCTGGGGGACAGGTGGGAAACCGAAGCCTGATCAGGCCTCGTCCAGCACCAGCCAGAGGCCCCTGGGGGCTCCTAGACGTATGTTTAACTGGTGGCTGCTGTGCGTGACATGGTTCCACCTGTCGTCTGCGTCACTGGTCCTCAGCTGGGGCAGTCCTGCCGCCCAGGGCCAAAATGTCTGGGGACATTTTTGTGGCCACTTTTGTGGCCACAAGTTGGAGGACAGGGCCGCTGGTGACATCTAGAGGGTGGAGGCCAGGGCAGCCGCTCAGCGCCTGCAGCGCACAGGATGGCCCCCATGGCCGTGGCAGCGGTGGGAGTGCCCGAGGCCCACGCCCCACGATTTCCTCGGGGACAGATGGGCGCACCCCAGGGCGGCTTCCGGGTGGGCTGCGGGGGGCCAGCCCCGGGCGCCCCCACTGCCCTCTGGCTTCTCGCCCCGCTGTAGGCATCGTGGGCAGCGATTACATCAACGCCAACTACGTGGACGGCTACCGGCGGCAGAACGCGTACATCGCCACGCAGGGGCCGCTGCCCGAGACCTTCGGCGACTTCTGGCGCATGGTGTGGGAGCAGCGCTCGGCCACCATCGTCATGATGACACGGCTGGAGGAGAAGTCGCGGGTGAGCCCGGGGCCTGCTGCCCCACCCCGGCCCCACGTCCAGCCTCGGCTGGCCCAGCCTGCGCTCACCTCCGTCCTCTCGCTCGGCACAGGTCAAGTGCGACCAGTACTGGCCCAACAGGGGCGCGGAGACCTACGGCTTCATCCAAGTGACGCTGCTGGACACTGTCGAGCTGGCCACGTTCTGCGTACGGACCTTCTCCCTGCACAAGGTAGGGCCCGGGCCGGGCCAGGCCGGGGGCCGCAGCGGGGTCGTGGGGCCGAGGAGGCAGCCAGGGCCCCCTACTGCCCTGGGAGCACCCGTCAGACGCAGAACACCAAGCGTGTTGACCCAGGCTGACCGAATTCACGTGAAGGCCACTTTGCGATGAGGAGACTGAGGCTCGGGGTGGGGCACCTCCTGTCTCCGACCGCAGCAGTAGGACAGAACCAGCAGAGCCCAACTCAGCAGCGAACCCATTGTCCTCTAGTCGTCAGTCACGTCCCAGGTGTCCCCTGTCCTCTCATCCTCCGCCTGGTGCTGGCCGAGTCGGAGCCCCGCCTGTGAGGGGCACTGCGCACGGGGCGGGGCACAGGGCCGGGCGGAGCACAGGGCCAGAGAGACCCTGCTGGCCTCCGGCAGAGGCGCCCACCGTCACAGGGCTCTGTCTGCCTCCCACCTCGGGGGTCCTCGGGTGCGCTGTGTGTGGCCTGGGGGGCGTTTTTTACCGCCGTGCTGGGGAGGGACGGCGCTGCCAGCAGCAGGGCGCTCCCCGGACTCCAGTCGGGCCTCTCGGCATCCGGCCCGCGCCAGGCCCAGCGCCAGAGCACCGGGTCGTTGCCCAGGAGGGGCGTGTGGTCCGTGGGTCACTCACATGTACCCAGCACATGCGTGTGTCCAGCTGTGACCTGGGCGCCGGGACACAGCAGAGAGCAAAGTGCTCTGGTCTCATGTGCAGTGGGCAAAACACAGGCACAAGACGTGAAAACAGCAAACCTCTTTAAATTTAACTTATTAGGGTGGCATCGGTCGATGATGACATTATGTAAGTTTCGGGAGCACGCCCTCACGACCTGCCCTCGCCGTGTTCCAAGTGCACGCCACCCGCAGCCCCGCCCCTCCGTCGCGGTGTGCTCGGCCCTCTCTGTCCCGTGTCCCCGCCCAGCCCTCTCCCCTCGTGACCGCCGCTCCGTCTGCCGTCTGTGTCTGGGGCGTGTTCGCTTGCTGCTTCACACGGTTCTTGTTCTTTTCTGCCCGACTTAATGCGCTCAGCACAGCGTTCTCAAGACCCACCCACGTGGCCACAAGTGGCGTCTTCTCTCGTGGCTGAGTGGCGTGCCACGGTGTGCTTGTGCCACGCCATCTCCACCCAGTCGTCCTTCGGAGGACACGGGTGGGGGCCATGTCCTGGCCAGCGTGAATAACGTGGCAGTGAACACAGTGTCCGTGTGTCTTTGCGTGCCTAAGTGTGAAGTTTTTCGGGAGACAGAGACCCCCAAGAGGGCTGGCTGGGTCGTGTGGCAGCTCCTTCTTACTCGTGTGAGGGACCTGCACACCGTTTTCTGCGGCGGCAGCGGCCGCAGCCCGCGTCCCCAGCGGCGGTGTGCGAGGCCCCTGCCCTCTGCCTCCTCCCCGGCACCTGTGGCTTCTGTCCGGTTGGTGACGGCCCTTCCCGCGGGTGGGCACGGCACCTCGTTGCGGTTTGGACTTGCAGCTCCCGTGTGGCTGGCAAAACCGAGATCCTCCCGTGTAGCTGTGGGCCGCGTGTGTGTCTTTGGGAAGCTGTCGGGTGGTCTGCCAGAGTCGGACAGACGTTCTGCCGTGGGCGAGGCGCGCGTGTCTGCGTGTGTTCTGGGCAGGAGCCCCGCACCGGAGCTGCCCCTCGCGGCATCTTCTCCCACTCAGCTGGTTGCTTTTTTTGTTTTGTTGATGGTTTTTTGTGCTGTGTGGAGGCTTTTTAGGTTGATGCAGTCACGTTTATTTTCTCTTTTACTCCCCTTGCCTCAGGGGAGGGAGATGGAGTTCACAAAAACTTCTCTGAGACCAGGGTCCAAAAGCGATAAGGAATCTCACGTGTGCAGGATTAAAGTAAAGCTGAGGAGAAGAACAGAATGTGCTCTGGGGGAGCTGGAGGAGGGAGGGACGGGTTCATGAGGAGATTCGGGGAAAGAGCATTCCAGGCAGGGGGCACAGCATGTGCAAAGGCCCCGGGGCAGGCCTGTGCTTAGCGTGTCGGAGGGGCAGAAGAAGGCCCCTGTGGCCGGGACTGAGTGAACACTGTGGGGGGAGAGGGAGCAGATGGGAGCAGCTGAGGGCAGGGAGAGGATGGGCTGGTTGTGTGGGGCCCATGGGCCACAGGGAGGACTTGAGCTTTTTCGTGGAGGGAGGTGGGAGCTCTGGAGGGCTGTAGTCACGTAGACATGGGAGGTGTGGGACCTGATGCTCGCTCACCGGCGCTCTCTGGCTGCTGTGGGGGGGATAGCCGGGGAGGGGAGGGGGAGCACCAGCAGACTGGAGGGACCAAGGCAGAAGTGACACTCACAGGGTCCCAGGGCGATAATGGCATGGATCATGGTGACCGCCATGAGGGAGGAGGGTGAGAAGTGGGCAGGTTTGAGATAGACTTTGGGGTTTTTTAATTTGTTTCAGGTTGGTTTGTTTGTTTAATTGAGTTTAGAAGAGCAAGAGGAAGGGTGAGAGAGACATCAGTTTGTTGTTCACTTATTTATGCATTTATTGGTTGAGTCTTGTGACGTGTCCCCTGACCGGGAATCGAACTCTGCAACCTTGGCGTGTCGAGATGACACTCTAGCCAACCGAGCTATCTGGTCCGGGCTGGGATGGACTCTGAAGGCCGTCCATAGTGTGGGCTAGGGGGTTGGACATGTAGGCGTCGAGTGGAGGGTGACTCTGAAGTTCTGTTAAGAGCGCTGGAGGGGAGGAGCGACCGTCAGCTGAGGTGGAGGGGTTGGGAGTGGGGTGGGGAAGGACGCTGGCCACGTCCCGTGAGACAGACGTGACACCTTCGCTGGAGACCCCTCTGCATCCCGGGGGCAGGTGGACACCTGCGTCAGACGCTCGGAGGTGCGGCAGCCTGGGGGGTGTGCTGGGCGTCCCCTGCACAGGCCGCGGTGCCAGGCAGTCTCCCTGTGGCCCCCAGAACGGCTCCAGCGAGAAGCGTGAGGTCCGCCAGTTCCAGTTCACGGCGTGGCCGGACCACGGGGTGCCTGAGTACCCGACCCCGTTCCTGGCGTTCCTGCGGAGGGTCAAGACCTGCAACCCCCCCGACGCCGGCCCCGTGGTGGTGCACTGCAGGTACGCTGGCCCGGCCCCGGCCTCTGGCTCCCACTGGCGCCTCGCACCCCCCGTCCCTCTCCCGAGGGGCGCCTGATCGCCACGCCTGTCCCCGCAGCGCCGGCGTGGGCCGCACCGGCTGCTTCATCGTCATCGACGCCATGCTGGAGCGGATCAAGCCGGAGAAGACAGTGGACGTGTACGGCCATGTGACGCTCATGCGGTCCCAGCGCAACTACATGGTGCAGACGGAGGACCAGTACAGCTTCATCCACGAGGCGCTGCTGGAGGCCGTGGGCTGCGGCAACACCGAGGTGCCCGCCCGCAGCCTCTACGCCTACATCCAGAAGCTGGCCCAGGTGGAGCCCGGCGAGCACGTCACGGGCATGGAGCTCGAGTTCAAGGTGGGAGAGGGCGTGCGGGCTGCCGTGGGCGCGCGGGCGGGGCAGGGCCGAGCAGCGGGGCCCAGGGGTGGGCGCCAGCGTTCCCCTGCCCGCTGTCCCGCTGTCCGCGCTCCGGCTGGAGGCTGTCCGGACAGCAGCCCCTGCTCCTCGTCCCCACAGCGGCTGGCCAACTCCAAAGCCCACACGTCCCGCTTCATCAGCGCCAACCTGCCTTGTAACAAGTTCAAGAACCGCCTGGTGAACATCATGCCGTACGAGAGCACGCGGGTCTGCCTGCAGCCCATCCGGGGCGTGGAGGGCTCCGACTACATCAACGCCAGCTCCATCGACGGCTACAGGTACCTCACCTCCGCCTGGCGGGACTGGGGCCCCAGCCTTGTGCCCAGGCGGCTCCGTTCTCGTGGGGAGACAATGCTGCACGGCCTCTGCCAGCCCCGTGCGGGCGCAGTGGGGGCGGGACGCCTTCCCCTACGCCTCACTGAGGGCCGCTGTGCGCCGTGGGGCTCCGCCTCCTGCATGTCCACGGCTGTCGGTCGGAGCCGCCCTGCCCCGGGGGACGTTTGGCACTGTCTAGGGACGTGTGTCTGTCGGGATTTGAGTGTGTTGGGCAGTGGCTACTACTGGGCATGGTGGGTGGAGCCAGGGGTTTTGCCCAGAACGATGCCGCGTCGCGAAGGGCGACCCAGCGGTGGGTCCCAGCAGTGCTGATGCTGAGAAACCACGGCCGGAGAGGGCGTCCAGGCCGAGGTGCCGCCTGCGCCAACTACTGCACGTCATTCGCTGGCACTTGGGGGAGGCGGAGCAGGAAGGCAGGAGGTTGGAGGGCAGTTGCGCGCGCTGGAACGAGTCCTGCCGCTGACGGCTTCCCCGGTGCTAAACGGGGCCGTTGGGAGGGCCCAGTGAGACGGGGAGGGAGGCAGTCCCTGCCGAGCCCTCGCCACGCAGGCAGTTGCATGGCAGGTGCGGCTGCCGTGGCCCCGCCTGGCCCTCCAGGCAGCATGGAGGCAGCTGTGGTCCCAGGCCCCGCCCCCCAGCCCTGCACTCACTCCCCGCCCCCCACAGGCAGCAGAAGGCCTACATCGCCACGCAGGGGCCGCTGGCGGAGACCACGGAGGACTTCTGGCGCATGCTGTGGGAGAACAACTCGACCATCGTGGTGATGCTCACCAAGCTGCGGGAGATGGGCCGGGTATGCGGGGCCCAAGGGGGGCGGGCAGGCCCCGGGGAGTAGGAGGGGCTCAGGCAAGGCTGACCACAGGCCCCGTCCCCTTGACAGGAGAAATGTCACCAGTACTGGCCAGCTGAGCGGTCTGCCCGCTACCAGTATTTCGTGGTGGATCCGATGGCAGAATACAACATGCCACAGTACATCCTGCGGGAGTTCAAGGTCACAGACGCCCGGGTGAGTGTGGAGGCAGGTTGGCAGCAGGGCTGGAACCTAGACGGGGCTCCGAGTTTCCCTAGTGACCGGGAGACGGCCTCGAGAGCTGGGAGCAGAAGCAAAGGCCCTGGGGCAGGAATGAGCGTGGGGTGTTGGGAGGAGAATGAGTGAGTTGGCCTATCCCTCCCACCGCCAAGTAGGTGGAGAGAGGACCGTGTCCCGGTGCTGACCCCGTGGTGTCCCCCCTGGAGCACATGTCACCCACTCACCCGGGCGTGTGGGGAGCCGCAGCCTGTGGGGGACAGTGTTAGCAGGCTGCAGGGGGCGTTCGGTGGGGTGGTGGTGCTGGGAGGGGAGGCTGGGGCCGGGGGCGGAGAGGGTGCCACCCGGTGGGGGCGGGGGGTGGGAATGGGCCCCGTGGGCAGGGAGAGAGGAGAGCGTTGTGGGTGGTGTCAGCCAATGCAGACGCAGTGGTCGGGGGCGGGGAGGGGCTGTTAGATGGCGACTGGCCAGGCTGACCCTGGGAGGTGGCCCTTTTGGGTGACAGAGGATCCAAGCTGGTAGGAGAGGAGGGGCGGGAGAAGACTGTCAAGGTGTCGCTAGTGGCTGGGGGGACGAACGTCATCAGGGCCCAAGTGTCGGGGCTGTGAGATGCCACCACTGGATTGCTGGGATGTGGGGCTGTGGGTCAGCAGAAGCTGCGGCCGGTGGAGGGGTGTGAACCAGCGCAGTGTCCGGGGGAGGGAAGCGGGTCAGAGAAGGGACCGCGCTGGTGATAGGCTGGCAGAGACTGGTCCTGCGGCCGCTGAGGGTGGTGTTTGTCAGCGGTGGATGGAGAAAGGGCAGACTGGGGGGAGAGGGGGGAGAGAGTCTATGGAAAACAACTTTGAAAAGTGGAGTGCGGTGAGCATTCGGGGGAGTAGACAGCGCTGCAGCCGGAAAGAGACAGGAAGGTGGGGCCGGAAGGGGGGTTCTGGGTGGCGGGGGCCGGCAGGGTGCACGGCTCTACTGGGTGGTGCCACGGTGCTGCCGAGGGGGTGGCCAGAGAAGGCGGCGGGCAGTGTTCTCCGGGGGCTGGAGGGTCGTGGGGGCCGGGCCGCTGGGCTGTGACGAATGGGAGGTGGCAGAGGGTCTGACGTGGTGGCCCGGCCGTGGAACAACAGGGTGGGCGAGGAGGGTGCCCGGGGGGTGGGCTGGAGACGGTCAGTGGCAGGCGACGTCGTTGGGTGGTGAAGGGTTGTGCGCTGGCGGGGGTGGGTGGTGCCCCTAGGTGAGAGCGGCTGGTGAGCACAAGTGCCCCCCCCGCAGCGGGTGCCCGGAGTGGTGGGTAGCACTGAGCCCTGCGCACCCACGGTCTTTCCCCGGGCGTGCGTGCCTGCCAGAGCAGGGGCAGCGGCGCACTGCCGTGGAAGCTCCGTGTGGCGCAGCCTGGGGGCCGGCGCGAGGGAATACCGGGGTCACTGGAACTGGCACCGTGATGCCGCCACAGCGGCGGTGAGTGACTGACGGGGGCGTCTGCGACGTGGACGCGCTGGACAGAGGGCTGGCGCGTGCGCTGGGCGGGGTGGGGCAGGGTGGCATGGGATTTCATCACGTTACTCACAACGTCACACCACCTTTTAAAATTGAGTGAATGGAAAGTTCCCGAAATAAACAGTTCATATTTCGGACCTCAGTTGGCTGCGAGAATTGAAACCACGTAAGGCGCAACTGTGGGTGGTGGGGACGGCCGTTGTCAGGGGTGGGTGGCACCGGTAGGAAATGACGCGTCACCGGGGCAGACGGTGCAGGGAGGAGGCCGCGGTGTGGGCGGTGCTGTTGGGGGCGGAAGGCGATGAGTTGGAGCAGTGGGTGGTGGGTGGCAGCCCCGTGGGTCAGTGCGGGGCGTGTGGCACCGCTGGGCGGTGGAGGACGCGGAATGATGGTTCGGGTAGTGCCCTGAGACGGCACAGGGTGCAGGCTGCCCGCGGACGTGGAGGTGGGAGGGGATGGTGCAGGCTGGAGGGTGGAGGGTAGCAGAGAATGGGGGCGTGGGACGTGGCCCGGTGGTCGTGGTGGGTGGGACTGGGGATGTGGAGAGAGGACCACTGGGCGCGGGGGCGGGGTGGTGCACAGTGGCCGTGGGAGATGGTGTCATTGGGTGGTGACAGCAGAAGACGGTGGCGGAGGCTGGAGCTGCTGGGGCTGGAGGTTGGGGTTGCGGGCCAGCAGGCACGGGGCACGGCGGTGACCACCACTGACCTCGTGAGCAAGGCTGGGCTCTTCTTTCCAGGATGGCCAGTCCCGGACTGTCCGGCAGTTCCAGTTCACGGACTGGCCGGAACAGGGCGTGCCGAAGTCGGGGGAGGGCTTCATCGACTTCATCGGGCAGGTGCACAAGACCAAGGAGCAGTTCGGCCAGGACGGCCCCATCTCTGTCCACTGCAGGTGAGCCGCTCCCCGAGCCCCGGCCGCTTCCTGGCTGGGGAAACGGAGGCCCGAGGAGGATACCCGTCAGCCTCAGGCACTCCGGTCTGGGGTATTCTCATGCCTGGGGAGTGGGGGTCCGGGTGCCCTGCACTGAGCTGCCGCCTCCCTCCCACAGTGCCGGCGTAGGCAGGACCGGTGTCTTCATCACGCTCAGCATTGTGCTGGAGAGGATGCGGTACGAGGGTGTGGTGGACATCTTCCAGACCGTGAAGATGCTGCGGACCCAGAGGCCGGCCATGGTGCAGACGGAGGTGCGCAGGGGACAGGGAGAGGCGTCCCGGCCTCACAGCTCTGTCGCCAGAGCCTCGGTCTCCCCTCCGTGATGTGGGCTCTGGGTCGTGGGTGGGTGGTCGTCGGTGCCTCCTGCTCTGGGCCGGAAGGTTATTAGTCAGCTCTTGACACAGGAGTAGATGAAGTCCAGAGCTGAGAAGTGTCCCTGGGCCTAGGAGAGGGGTCCGTTCTAGTCCCAAAGTCACAGCCAGTTCGTGGCTCAGCGAAGACCCTGACACAGGCCACAGATTCTCAAGCCCCACTGCTGCCCCGGCAGGGAAGTGGGACCCAGCACGGAGCGGGTCTTCCCCTCAGTCGCATTCACGTTGGGCACTTGAACAGGGTCCTCCCTCTGCTGTGTCTGGAGAGACAGAGCTGGTGTCAGACTCCTGGCCTGGAGGGGTGTGTGGAGGGACGACTGAGCAGCCGTGTCTTTGTGTACAACCCGTAGGCAGAGAGGACAGGGCACTTGGGGCGGAGAGTCCGTGCCGTGGACACACCCCGGGGGGTGGGGGCCGCAGGGAGCCCTGAGAGGTGTCAGAGAGGAGGCACCTACAGCCCTGTTCCCTGCCCTTCCCGCAGGACGAGTACCAGTTCTGCTACCAGGCAGCTCTGGAGTACCTGGGAAGCTTCGACCACTATGCAACCTAAAGCCATGGTCGCCTGGCCCAACTCCACCGGCTCCGGATGCCTCTCTCTGCCTGGGCTGGGGGGCCCCTGGAGGCCTGCACCCCCGGCGGCGGCCGCAGCGTTTCTGCACGGTCTCTGGGAATGACGTGGCCCCCGGCAACCTCCCCGGCACCAGCCGCCGCCTTGAAATACTTGCCACATTCCTCGTTCCCTTCCAATTCCAAAACGAGCAGTTCCGGGGTGGGGGGTGGGGGTGGAGAGCAAATGGGGGTTTTCCCCAGAACCAGAGGAGGACGGGGCTGTGGCCCCTCGCCCACCGCCCCCCACCCCGGGGGGGGGGGGTTTCCAGCCCTGCATCAGCAGCAGGCTGGAGGGGGGCCAGAATTCAGCTTTTTGTTTTTCAAACTCCGTGTAACTGTATCCAGTGACATTTCCTTTTTTTTAAATAGCGTATTTTTTTTCTAATTTTTTTAAAAAGAAAAAAAGTGACTTACCAGTCCACGAACTTAAAAAGAAAAATGTTGCTTATTCCTGTTCTCCTCACAGTCTATTTTTTCACTGTAGAGCGTGCTTGCGTGGCGGCCGTGTGCGCTCTGACAGCTGTCCCCGCGGCCGGCGTTTTCTTTTTCTGCCATCGGAAGCCGTGCCTCACTCAAGAACAGGGCGTCCTTTTGCTCCTGGTTTCTTTTTTCCTTTTTTTTCTTTTCTTCTTTTTTTTAATGATTAAATCCTCAGACATATCAAGCACGGTTCCAAGGGTGGGGCAGTGGAGGGCGGGCCCCAGTGACGGTGGCCACCTCCCTGCAGCCCCCACGAGCCCCAAGGCGGGAGAAGGGACAGAGCAGGAGATTCCGCCTCTTCAGGGATGGGAGGCTGGGTGCTGGCCCCGGCCAGGGCGCCTTTCCCCTGGGACTACGGGGCAAACGCAGAAAGCACGGCATCCCCCACCCCCAAGCAAGCGAGTTTTTCTCTTTGTACCAGAGCAGATCTGCCGTTGCTCTAGACACTGTTTATTCAAACGGAAGCAGCTGGGTGGTTTTCCCACCTCTGTGTATGTAGATATATCAACTTTGTATTAAAGGAAGATGGTCTGAACCCGGTCGTCGGCGACGTCTTTGTCGTGCCCCCGCCCAGCCCGTCTTGTCCCGGGCCGGCAGGGGCCCGGAGAGCCGTCTGTCCTGTAACAGTCCCGTGAGGAGGGGCCTGGAGAGCCGGTGCTGCTGGTCCAAGGGCCCTCAGTGTCTACAGGGCCCTGCTAGGGTTCGAACACAAGTTCTGGCCTTACAGGGACTGCCTCATTGGTACTAGTTACTGTTGTTGATTATACTAGGACCACCATTGAGCATCGACCAGGAGCCAGCTCTCTGAGATGGATGTCATCAGTCCAATTTACAGATGAGGAAACTGAGGCTCAGAGAAGGGCCAGAACTGACCCAAAGTCACTTGCACTTTGGAGTGGAGCTGGGATCCACACCCTGGTGGGTCTCAGCCTCAGCCGTGCCTTCTCGGGAAGGGCCAGTGAGGGAGCTGAGCTTACCGGACAGACGAAGCACTTGGGTTAGGGGCACTGTCCCCACCCGAAGGAGCCACAGGTGGGACGGGATGAAAGGCCCCCCACCCCATGATTGCACAGAGGCTCCGGGGGGAGAAGGGTGGTCTCAGGACAGGGACCCGTCCTGGGAGAGGGTGGAGGCACCCCTTTCAGAAATGGTCAGATCTAGTAGTCAGAAATGCATAGATACAGAAGCTGAGACTAATACCATTAATAAACTTAGTGAAATAAATTGATCAAACTATATTCCCCAACCCCAAATTCTCAAACACACGGACCATTTATGTAAAACGTTAGCATTTAGAAAATCCAGCAGTCGACTTTCTTTTCAAATTCCAAGAAACAAATCAGAGATGAAATAACCGGACCTGGGCACCGAGGAGAAGACTCTGTGACCGAGTCTGCCACCCCAAAAAGGCCTCACGTGGAAAGTGTCAGAACGCGTTTCCAGACACAGCGCGGGCTTGAGGAAGGAGGGGTGTGTCGCAGAACGAAACCCGTGGGTCGCAGCCGGAGAGGCGCCCGAGGAAGACGTGGGACCTGGAACACGCCAATCGGAAAACAATCCAGAGGTTCCGTGAGCCTAAGACACATGAGCCAAGCTTCCAGCTAGACAGCTAGAACGTAGTAGAGTCACCACGAATGGGAAAGGAGACGTGAAGATGAACGTGGAAACCCGTGGCACTTGGAGATTCCTCTGTGTGAACAAAACTGAAAGCATTCGGCGCCGGACTTGTGAAGTCAGTGAGGAAGGTGGGGGGGCGTCCTTTCACTGACAGCTTGTGAGTTGAAATGGACAGAAAGTCAGGCTCTAAGGGGTGGTCCGACCCTTTGGCATCTCTGGGCCACGCATTAAATACACAAACACTAACAAAAACAAAAAAATCTCAATGTTTTAAGTAAATTGACGAGTTTGTGTTGAGCTGCACGCACAGCCATCCTGGGCCACGTGCAGGCGGCGGGCTGGACCCCCTGCCAGGCCCAGCCTGAGCGTGGTCCACGCTGAGGCATCTAAGGTGACTGCTCCTCCCGGAGAATGCCCACTCAGTCCTCAAAGCCCCTCTGGGCTCCTAAGCCCATGAGGCTGAAGTGGCCAACCAGGGCATATGTTGCCTTCCTTACTGGAAACTGGGTGCAGAGGATTTTCGGGTAAAACTAATACATGTGACCGTTAGTTCTGTGGCTCAGAACCGAGATGCTCCTGCCCTGGTTGGGAGTAGGTGGTGGCAGGCAGGGGTTTACCTGAGGGCTTCCTGGAAGAGGAGGGCCCTGAGGAATTGTCTTAACCTATAGCCATGGCCACCAGGACACTGTCTCCAGGGGCCTTGGCCTGCCCCAGGACAGCACGACCACCCCGGTTTACTGAGCACTGTGTGTGCCCACTTCTCGCTGTCTCTGTCCTTCTGACAGTGGACAGGAAGGGAACAGACTCCGACAGGTCAGGTCTCCCACCCAAGATGGCACAGATGGTAAGTTGTAGCGCTTACCTGCTTCCCATGGCCACAGCGAGACAGTGCAAGGCGTCTGGGCTCTGCCTGCCTGTGGCCAGGACCAGCCATGCACCACAGCCCCAGGCTGGGAAGGATGGCGCGGGGGGCAGAACCCCACCATCGCTGCGGTTCTGCCAGGAGCCAGAGCACTGTGGCCCTGTTCAGTGCAAGTGCCCTGAATCCACGCTCCGTCTCTAACAGCATCATGTACACGTGTTTAAAGCAAACACCCACTAGGAGGAGAGGAAAGAGACACAGTGGTGCTGGAGACGGAACCTACCTGAGCAACAGAAAGAGCAAGTCATCGAGATAAGGACCTTGAGGAGATGAATACTGCAAACTTGACCAAATAGGTACACACAGGACTTTGTCCCCAGCAAATAGAGGGTGCACGTCTGTCCAGACACAGTTCTCATGGGAATGGAAGCCATGTCAGGTCGTAAAGGAAAGCTCAACAGTCAGACTCACTAGCCACAGAGCAGTAAAACTGCATAAACCAATGACATCCAGCTCCTGGAGTCTGCATGGTTGCAGGTGTTAAATAATGAATGAAAGGTGAGTTGTGCGAAGGTACAAAGTACTTGGACTGAATGATGAAACCACCACAGGTAAAAACCAGCAGGACGCAACTGAAGATGTGCTCAGAGGTCAATTTAAGGTCAAGTGCATGTATGGGGGGGGAGGAAGATCACAGAATATAAATGAAACAGCCAAAGAGGTACTTACAGGCAAATATGTAGCTTTGTATGACTGAAACTAAAACTAGTTAAAGCTTTCAACTAAGCATCTATTACAAAAAAATGATCACAAGGTAAGTCAAAAGAAAACAGTAAGATCAAAAATTAATGGAAAACTGGCAGCACCAGGAAAACAACAACATTTTAGGAAACCGGATCTTTGGCCCTGGCTGGGCGGCTCAGCTGGTTGGAGCATCGTTCTGTACACCAAAGGGTTGCAGGTTCAATCCCCAGTCAGGACACAAACCTGATTGTAGTTTCGATGTCTTTTTCTCTCTCCCCTCATCTCTCTGAAATCAAGGAACATATCCTCAGATAAAATTTTTTTTTTAAAGCTGGGTCTTTGGAAATACCCAGAACAGAGGCAGACCTTTGGCAGGAAGACAGAAGCACAAACAACGTCAGGGGTGATGGGGGGCACCAACTGCCCTTGAGGAGGAGAGGTGTCAGGGGGTGTGTGCAGGTTCATACTACTAACTCTGTAAAAGAGTAAAATAGGAACAAGTCTAAGAACAAAATAAATTCAGCCCTTAAAAAGTGATTTAACCTTAGAAATTATTGAAATGATGGTCAAGGATCTGTCCCCTGTACGAAACCCCTTCCCAGATGGTTTTTCAGGTGAGTTTTGCCAGATCTTCAAGGAAGAGGTGATTTGCATCATTCATGAACTATGTCGGCTTACAGGGGAACACAGATGCTACCCAGGCTGCACAGGGCAGTCTGAGGTGGGTGCACATCCCGCTTCGTGTCCAGATGCAAAAGGGCTAAGAAGATACCAGCAGTGCAAATCTGGCATCTCAGTAAAAGGGTAGGATAATACAGTGGGGAAGGAGTTGGGCGATGCGAGAACATTAGAAAATCTCCTCAAAGGAATAAATTGCTACTTTGGAGAGCAAGTTGAGAGTAATAAGGTGAAGATGTATATAAGCTTTTTTTTATTTTTTGGTGGGAGGAGGAGAAGGGAGGGAGAAAGAGAGGGAGTGAAACATGGATGCAAGGGAGAAACATCCACCAGTTGCCTTGTGCACACGCCCTGACAGGACCAAGCCCGCAACCCAGGCATGTGCCCTGGCCGGGACTCAAACTGGCAACCTTGCACTTTGTGTGATAACACCTGACCAACTGAGCCACACAGGCCGGGGCGAAGATGTACCTAACTTTTTGACTGAATTCCAGTCTGAGCTACAACTTGGACTCTCGCAGATGTGCCCAAGGAGATGTACATACTAATCCAGAGAGGGAGCATTTGGAGGGGGGGAAAGAGAGAATAAAAGAGAAAAAAAGAAAGCACCAAGTATAATACATTTTTATTATAAACAAATTTAATTGGAACCAATTTTTTATTAAAAAAATGGAACCAGCCGGAAAATGTATGAAGAATTCTGTAAGACCATACGGTGGAATACTATGCAGTAGTGAACACGAAGTATTAGAACTCTCCCACAGCACGAGTGAATCTCAAAAACACTGGCCAAACCAGGTAGACAGCAAAAAGAAAAGGTCACGTACTTGCATTATAAAATATTTAAACACATAGCAAATATACAGTAGCTAGGAATAAACAGATAAGGAGCAAATACATACAATCTCATCTATACGGCAACATTACCGGAAGCAATCTACAGATTCGATGCAAAACCTATCAAAGTCATAACCGTCTTTTTTCCAGAAATGGCCAAGCCAATCCTCAAGTTCAGATGACATTGCAAGGGACCCAGAATAGATGACACAATCTCGAAATTGAACAGTGACTTTGAAGGACTCACACTTCCCATTTTTGAAACTAGTGGTAATCAAAACGTGGTGGGACTTCCGGCCAAGGTGTCAGCATAAGCAGACATGGGTCACCTTCCCCACAACCACATCAAAATTGCAACTAAAATATCGAACAGTCATCACTCAGAACTGTCAGAAATGGAGTTGAATGGAAGTGTGACAACTTCAAAATTAAAGAAACCACATCCATCCAGACAGGCAGGAGGGGCTCAGATGTGGAACGGGCTGGTCCCACACCCACGTGGGTGGGTGAAAATTCGGCAGGGATATCTTGGGAGTGAAGAATCCCAGCTCCACACCAGGCCCCCCAGCCCAGGGTTCCAGTGCCAAGGAAATAAGTCCCCACAACTTCTGGCTGCAAAAACCAGCGGGGATTGAGTCAGTAGAAGAAACTCTAGAGCCCCAAGCAACTCCTCTTACAGAACCAATGCACGGAATCACCTACTCAGACTCACTCCCTCTGAGCTCCAGCACCGGGGTAGTAGCTTGAAAGGCAGCAGCGGCACAGAGAAAGGAACAAATGTCTGGCATCAAGGCAAA